CGAAAAAGGACAAGAAGAAGGGCAAGAAGAGCCTCTCAGCGTCGGGCATTGCAACTCCAGTCGAAGCTTCTATCGAGCCGGTTACGGAGGGACACGACACTAACAGCATTCCTCAAGGAACTCCCGAGAAGGTCGAGATCCAGCCAGGTGTTGTTGAGCCAATTGTCCCTTCAGAGCCTATTGCATCTGAAGTTGCTGTTGAGCCGTCGCGCGAGATTCTCGATACGCCTGCGACTGAAAGTTTCGAGCGACAAGTTGAACAGGAGCCCTCCAAAGCCGAAGACACGCCAGTATCTCCTTCAAAGTCCAAGAAGAGCAAGAAGAAGAGCAAGAAGGCTGAGAAAGTGGTCGAGGAAACTCAAGGGGCGGTAGATGCACCAGCTACGCCTGTCAACGAGGTTCAGCCTCCTGTTGCGGTAGAGACAATTAGCCAGCCTGAAGTTTTGCCCGCACCCTCCGAGTCTATCGCACAGCCGGATCAACCTGCCTCCTCCATCGTAGAAAGCGCACCAAATGTGGAGCAGACTAAGGGCGAATTTTTGTCCGAGGTTGGCGACGTGCCATTGGAAGACAGCTTGCGCAAGGTTGTGGATCCAGTTCCCGAGCCTTCAAGTCTACCCAAGGAAGCCGAGAAGACAAGCCAAGAGGCCAGCACCCCAGCACCCGGGCCCTTGCCATCCTTCAGGGCCATCAAAGACGAGGTTCCCGACCTTCGCGTTCGCCCTAAAGTACCCGACGCTGAGGTCGCTTCGTACGACAAGCTTCAGGCGACGCCCTCTACTACTCAATCCACTTCGATCCTTGACGCCGTTACCCAGCTCCTCAAGAAGAATAAGAAGAAGGCGAGCAAGAGCAAGAGCATCTCCGACCCCAAACCGACGACTCCTGCGGCCGATACTGCGGCTGCGGTTGAGACGAAGGAGAAGGTTGTTGAGAAGCCGGCGATTGCACCTGTTGCTGAGGAGCGTGCGGTGGTCGAGAAGAGCGTCGTTGAAGAGCCTCTTGTCAAGGAACCCGTTATCCAAGAGCCTAGCGTTGAGACAAGTCAAGTCGTTGGAGCACCTACTGTGGAAGAAGAGCAAGTACCGACCAAGGCACCTTTCCATGAACCGAGCAAGAAGGAGAAGGGAAAGAAGGCAGAAGAAGCTGTTCTGAGCAGAGATGAACCTCTTGAACCAGTTACCCAGCAGCCGATTGAAGAAGTACCCATGGCTTCTGAGCCACAGGCTGTGGATATTGAGAAGAGTGTTCAGCAGACGGCTATTGAGTCATCCACGCCATCGATGGAGCTTGGCAAGAAAGATAACAAGTCTCGAGAGATCCTTCTACCCGACTACGAAGCATCCGTGCCGTCGCAAGTCCCTGCGTCGGAAGAACCTCTTACCCCCACCGCCGTCATTGAGCCAGAGACTGCCATGAAGCCAGTGTCATCATCTGAGGTCTGTGAGCCCGTTGTGATTGAGAAGTCGGCTGCGTTAACGTCAGAGACAAGCCCCTCTCATGGATCGCACGACGCGAACGTTCCAGATTTGGCGGCAGTCTCAGAAGAAGCTAATGAATCACAACCCATGGCAGAGCTAGAGCCAGTCATTCCTTCTGTTCCGAAGGACGAAGAGCCTGAGACAGACAACAAGAACAAGCAGCAGGACGATCAAAGTCGAACAGTCAAGGATGTCTCAGCCAGAGAACTGCAAGCCGAGCCGCTGCAGTCCGTGGTTGAGACACCCGTTGTAGCTGAACCTAGCCAGCAAGTGCCTCTTTCGCCAGCCGCAAGAGATGCTCATCATGACGTCCCTATGAGTGTTGAGCCAGAAACTCCCACGGTTCCAGCCGAGCCAATACCCGAAACCGAGACTGTTCTGAACAAGCCCGAGCAGCAGAAGTCAACGTCAAAGTCCAATCCTGATGCTGGTGCTTCGGAACCTGCTGGTGTCCAGGGAGAATTGCAAGAACGGGAACTGCCCAAGGACGTCAAACAAGCTTCTTCGCCACAGGTCGCGAACCAGGAATCAAGCGTACCTGCTTTGTCTGAGGATGCTAGTAAAGATGTGAGCGCAGTGCTAGGACCAGCATCTGAAGTTGTTTCGCCGACGTTGAGGAAGCAACGCAAGGAAAAGGATGCAGGACCAGTAGAGGATTCAAAGGCTGCTGTCAAGACTGCGCGTGAACCTAGCGTCGTCACGGCCCTAGATGCCCCTTCCAAAGTGAGCCGGCCAACCGACATGGCCTCACCGGCCATGCCTGCACCAGCACCTGAACCGGCTGAACCGCCAATGCTCCAGAGGAAGCCGTCCAAGAAACACAAGCTCGCAGCGTTTTTCGAACGCGGAGATTCTCAAGGCACTCCTGCCGCTGGGCGGACCTTACGTCGCGGGGCATCCGGGAGTGTTAGGAGTCTCGCTGAACAGTATGAGAGTCATGAGCAGTCGGGTTCTCCTGAGAAGCGACCTATGTCTCCTGAGAAACGACCTGTGTCTCCTGAGAAACGGCACGCATCCCGAGTCTTATCCCGCAGTCACCTGGATCTAGTATCACCAGGAAGATCGGATTCAAAGTCACCGGCAAGAGAGATTGACTTTGCGGCCACAGTCGCTGCAAGTCTACAAGAGTCTGGCTTTGATCCTGGATTCGTGATCAACGACAGGTCATTCCATCGCTCAAACTCAATCCACAGCACCCATGACATCACCCCTGATGAGGACGTGTTTGCTGCCAGGGAGAGGGCCAGCAGATCTCGACTTGGGAGCTTGAGCCGCCCGTCATCCGCCGCTGGTTCACCGAAAATGCGACCAAGTCGACCCATTGAGCCTGAGGTTCTTCCGCCTATCGAGGTTGCCATGGGATCAACAAACCCAATATCTTTTGACCCGTTAGATGTTCTCAATGATCCCATTTTCGCGGCACGCAGATCACCTCCCGGTGTACTTGAGGAAGCTGACCCTGATGAACTGGCCGCTTCTTCGTCTCTAAGGAGGGTCAAGCCTAACAAGAAGCGCAAGCCTGTACAAGAAGCACCTGTTGAGGCTGCCCCGGTCGATGTGGAAGAACAAACTTCGGTTACGCCAACAAAACGAGGCAAGAAGTCAAGAAAGGACAATGATCAGGCTCCACTCCTGCAGGACAGTGTCGAGTATGCAGCTGCGATGACTCCGGCGATTGAGACTCTCCCAGATGTGTCTCTTGCTGTTGAGACTCCAGCTAACTCCACTGTCCGCGGTGCTGAGCCTAGCCGGTCCTTGCCTACGGCGTCAACTGGACCTTCCAATGTACCGGAGAGTCAGACGGAAGCTCGCGAAGTGAAGCGTGAACTCTCAAGGAAAAGGAGTGAGAGGATGAAGAGAGAAAGGTCCAAGGATAGCTATGCTGGTCGGTCAGTAATTGGAGAGCTGAAGGAGTTCCCATTTCCACACGTTGTGTCAAAGGAGGAGGTTCCGCAACCATCAATGGAAGAGTCGCGGAGGAAGGAGCTGGAGGAGAGAAACACAGATTCAGCAGAAAGGAAGGGCAGGAAGAGCAGGAGAGAACAGGAAAGGGCTGAACGGGCTGAGGGAAAAGCCAGGGAACAAGCAGCATCAGTTGAGAGATCATCCGGGGCTCCGGAGCATCACAAACGCAGAACACATCCGGTGTCATTCGACGAAGAGCAGCCAAACGAGAAGCGCATTCATACGCTAGAGTCTTCGCAAGAGCTCATGTATGCGCCCGAAAGAACAACATCGCCAGTGCCTATGGAGCAATTGGGGCCAAAGGAGACACTGGTTCACAAACTGAAGCAGCGTTCTGGGGAGTTGAGAACACCGTCAGGCACACCACCTCGCTCAACACCAAGTGTTCAAGATATGGGAGATAGCCCTGGATTGCCAGAATATCCCACCTACAGTAGAGCTTCGACACCAAGGTCTGAGTTTGCGACCAAGGAGCGAACTTCCGTCCTCTTCGACTCTTCGCCATCAACGCGCGACTATGGTACATCACCTGCAGTTCCGCCGACACCTGCTCACGATAGCCAAAGAGTCATTGAGACTCCGACAAGAGACAAGAAGACGTATAATGAGCCACAGCATGGCCGAATGTCGCCCACAAAGCAGTTGAAGCAGAAGGAACCGTACCAGTCGATTTTCGGTGACCCCAACGAGAAGAAGGGCGAAGACAGTACCGCGATTGCAACGCCAACAACAAAAACGGAACGCACACCTGGCAACACACAGTTGGAGTCAATCACAGAGAACAGTCCAGAGGAGACTACCACGCAACAGAAGGCAAGATCTAGGACTGATGTAGGTCAGTCGGAACGAACACTCAAGTCAGCTCGTCGCACTGAGAGCTTGAGGATGCTCTCTGAGCGCCTCAGATCACCTCCGCCTCGAACACCCACGCCTTCTGAAGGGCGTCGAAGTGTACATCCGTCAATGGAAAGCATGCGTGGCAGAGTCACGCCTTCGCAAACCGAGAGTATTGATCGCACAATAAACCTCAGCCCCGCACGGAGGATGCCTCGCTCGTCTCCAAGCACGGATACAATGAAGCAACCCTTGGGCGAGCGGCGGTCGTCCAGTGTACAGAGTCAGCGCTCCATGAGCAACATTGCGAGACTGCGGTCTCCTGATTACGAACGCCCCTCGAGTGCTTGGAGCAGCCATTCTTCGCACTCGTTGCGACGGGTGGACCGGCAAACGTCAGGTGACCTGAGATCGGCGTCTAGGCTTGGCACGGCCAGTGCGCAGGACGCTAAGAGCGGGCAACCCATTTTCCCGAGTGCGAGCACTCTTGCACTTGCGGCTGGAACCACAGCAGCCCTCTCTAGCGAGCCAAGCTACGATCCAGTTCGTGGCGAAGGCAAAGGTCGCCGGGCCAGTATGGCCGAAACCTTTGTAAGTCGTCCGGTCTTTGTTACGTCGGCCGTTTCAGTTACTGACCGTCATCTCCAGGAAGCGTGGGGCGAGGCTCAAGGGTCGCCCATATCACCCTCGCGCCCACCCAGTGTGCGCAAGCGCCAAAGTATGCAGATTATCGATTTACAGACGCAACTTGAACAACTCGCCGCGCAAAATGAGTCGCTTGAAGTCGCCAAGTCAAAGGCTGAAGAGACGCTGCTTGCTGCCCAGCACCAACGCCAAGTGGACGAGCAGCTCGTGCATGAAGAAGTAGAAGCACGTGACCGAGAGATTCACCAAAGAGACATCGACATTGCGCAATTGAAGGATACGCTGAAGCGACTACAAGAAGAGATTGCACGGCTGAAAGAGCTCAACAACGCACTGACCGATGCCAACCGCAGTCTTACCAACGAGGCGAATTCCCGGTACTCGGAGCTTCAATCCGAGAACCGCAAACTGATTGAAGAAGCCAATGCACGATACGAGCAACTAGAGTCGGAAAAGCGCAACCTTATCAACGATGCCAACGAACGGTATGCGCAGCTTCAATCTGAAGGGCAGATGGTCCACGAGCAATGGCAAACCTCGCAACGAGAGCTGGAAGACCTTCGTCAGCAACACACTCGAATGCAACAAGGGTTGGCCGAGGCAGTCCGCGACGAAGTCGGCGCAGCCCTGGATCAGCGCAACGCCGAGATTGATCGCCTGAATGCAGAACTTGCATCTGCACGCGAGCAAATCAAGAGTCTGCAGAAGCAGATCCTCGCTTCCAAGAAGCCCAGCGAGAGCTTCCTCACGGTTCGTGATGAAGACTATTTCGACAGCGCATGCCAGCAGCTGTGCCAGCACGTCCAGCAGTGGGTACTGCGATTCTCCAAGTTCTCCGACACTCGGGCATGCCGTCTCTCGTCTGAGATCTCAGCCGACACCAGGCTGGACCAAGCAACGCGGCAGAAAATCGACACCCGTCTCGACAATGCCGTTCTGGACGGTTCGGATGTTGACCTACTGCTAGCAGACCGTGTGAGACGACGAGACGTTTTCATGTCACTCACAATGACGATGATCTGGGAGTACGTGTTTACCAGGTACCTGTTTGGCATGGACCGAGAACAGCGACAGAAGCTCAAGTCTCTGGAGAAGACATTGTCGGAGATTGGCCCACAACGCGCCGTGGCCCAATGGCGAGCCATCACACTTACGCTGCTCTCGAGGAGAGAGGCATTCATGCAGCAGCGCGCCCAAGACACAGAAGCTGTTATGCATGAGATTTACAGCACGCTCTCGACGCTCCTCCCGCCGCCATCCAATCTCCAAAAGCAGATCCAGGAGTCTCTGCGCAACGTCATGCGCCTGGCTGTCGACCTATCCATTGAGATGCGGACCCAGCGCGCAGAGTACATCATGCTGCCGCCACTGCAGCCAGAGTACGATACCAACGGTGATCTCGTGGCAAAGGTCACGTTCAACGCCTCTCTGATGAACGAACGATCGGGCGACACGACGTCAAACGACGAACTCCAGGCACGTAATGCTATAGTCAAGATTGTGCTGTTCCCACTGGTCGTCAAGAAGGGTGACGATTTCGGAGAGGGTGAGGAGGAGATAGTGGTATGTCCTGCACAGGTGCTTGTGCAAGGGTCAAGAGCCAAGAAGATGGTACGAGTAACGAGCGGCGCCATGTCGATCAATCGTCCCGATTCAAGATCAAGCCGCAACAGTCGTGTCATGAGCGTTGCTCCGCCTGAGAGCACCATTATGGACTATGAGCAGGGCGGCAACATGTTTTAGATGATTGCATAGGCGGGATGGATGGGTTTTGTCTTTTTCTTTTTCTTTTCTTTTTCTTTGTCATTCTGCTATGCGTGTACTTTGAATTTGGTGTTTGGGAGGCTTTCTACATTGCTCTGCGACGACTTTTCCTATGTCTTGGTTATTCGGATGGGGTCCTATTTGATACCAGTATTTCATTTTTTTTGTATGCACATAGCGGCCGTGGGTCTTTTATGGACCGGATACCACGGTGGATAATGGTTATTCTTTCTACACCTGTACACGTCTGTTGTTCCGTAACGTCTGCCACTTGGCAGCGCAGCAGCGGACGACACATGCATGGGAAAGCATATGGCCGTCCGCTTCCTCGGTTGTTGGTTGGAGCTGAAGACGCGTTAGCCCTGATGTAGGAAACCCCGCTTCCTCCGTGGCGGCGCGGCGCAAGTCCAGCTGCCTCCACTCCTGACTGATCAACGGGTAATTAAAGTCGCCGCGGCACCATGTAAGGAGGCACACACTCAGTCGCTGGATTCAGCACAGCTGGCATATCCTCTCTTCTCCTACCTCTCGGGACCATCCGCCCCCATCGTCAGTCGCCGCAATGCCGCTTCGAAGCGATTGGAGTATTGCACGCGAAGGTACCGCCGTCCCCAGATGCTATGTCGACCGTGCACACAACTAGCCATGGGCAACCCCTGATTAATATGATACCTCTTAGGCTTCACCCGCGATACCTTTGCCAACCTCATCAAGCTAACGGCTCTTAACCCCGCGCTTACACTTCCCGTCTTGCTGCTTGCGCGCTACACGCAGCAGGGCAATGCGCTTGCTGCCGGCCATGCCTCAGCTTTCAAGCACCTGAAGACGTTGGTGGGCCTCGGCCTGTTCAACGCGGCCAGCACATGGCTGAGCAACAGGGTCATCAATAATTGGACCAGCGACTCGTATGACTGGTCTCGTGAGATTGTCGTTGTGACGGGTGGCAGCGATGGCATTGGCAAGGCGATTGTGCACATGTTTGCAGAGATGGACATCAAGGTGGCCGTGCTGGATGTCCAGGACCTGACGTATGAGGGTATGTGTCTGCGGTATGCGTCAGAAAAAAAGACATCTTGGGGACTAACAAACCACCAGCGCCTCCTTCTGTGCGCTTCTTCCGATGCGACCTCACGTCGCCTCAGTCGATTGCGGCAGCCGCATCCTCAATCCGCGCCACGCTCGGCAACCCCACGGTGCTGATCAACAACGCTGGTGTCGCCCGCGGCAAGACCATCCTCGACTCAACCGAAAAGGACATCAACCTCACGTTCCGCGTAAACGCCTTCAGCCACTACTACCTCGCGCAGCAGTTCCTGCCCCACATGATTGAAAACAACCACGGCATGGTCGTTACGGTTGCCTCCTTGGCCGGATGGATCTCAGCCCCCTCCATGGCCGACTACGCCTCTTCCAAAGCCTCAGCCATTGCCTTCCACGAGAGCCTTGCCGCCGAGCTAGTCGCCAGATACAACGCGCCCAAAGTGCGTACTGTGCTCATGTGCCAGGGCTACACACGCACCGCCCTCTTTGAAGGCTTCGATCCAAAAGGCGTCTTGTACCCGGATACAGTTGCCGAGGGCATTGTCAAGGCGGTGCTCAGCGGAAAGAGCCAGGTCATTGCCCTCCCGCAAACTACATGGCCCCTGATTCCCATGATACGCGGTCTGCCCCTCTGGATGCAGTATGGCCTGAGAAAGGGCCTCGGTGGCCTCATGTCAAACTGGAAGGGAAGACAGGTTGTGCAGCCGAGTGAGATTGAAGATGAGGCGGAAAAGAAGCCTGATGAGAGCACAGTGTTTGTTGGCAATGAGTAGAGAAGGAAGTTGAGGTTGAAGTGAAAAAGCGGGGGAGGGCGGAGGGGTTTTTGTTTTCCATAGATTCTGGTCCCTGGTTCAAGGGTCGTTTGGTCTTGCTGCTGTCATCATCCCGTAAGCTGCATGCTTTATTATTATTATTACTCATCTTACTGCATTTGCTAACTCCTACCCACTATTCGCAGTTACCTATTCAATGTCTGGGTTTTTGGCTGTCCCCCTTGCAGTGGCTTGGAGGTAGGGCCAAGGTATTTTTAGAATCATCTTGGTGCTATGTTATGGATACGCTGATTGATTGTGCATGTGTCTGGGTTTGTGCTTGTTGCTGCAACTGCTTTTCGCGTCTCACGGTGGTGATAATGCTGCTTTCGTCATGGCTTGTTACGTGTTAGATAATTGACGGTAGAGCAGGATGTAGTACCCGCACTGCAATGGTGCTAGTTTGTAGGTAAGTAAGACGGATCCTCAGCGCGCTACTCTAGTATATATGCAGTGCTATTCCAGAAATCATCATACGTAAGCAAGCGTTCTGTGGCGACGATGTGGGAATCCAAATCTGCCACATGATATTAGTTTTCTCGACGTTATTTTGCGCATCTCATTGATCTAAGTAGCTCCATAATGTACGAGTAGTCTTGTGCGGTATGATTAGGTGTAGATGTGCAATTCAGAGTACAGCACTCGAGCAATAATTACAAAAACCCAAGGCGTTTATTTTTCAAGCACGCTGGAAAGCTTTTCGGCCATAGATACGTGCGCATCCCGCTACCCCTGGGCCCGGCAAAGTATCCATGGGACGCGCACCAATCTGCATGTCACTGTCCGCGCGTAGCTTGAACAAACCTGTACTACATCACTCTTAGTGCCCTGTGAAGAAAGAAAAAAAACTCTATCACTTCCAGCCCGAGACTTATAAACGCTAGATCTCTCCTGTTTAGAAAAGACAGCATATGAACAGGCTACTAGTCAACACAGCACTTGCAAAGTCCTACCCTTGAATGCCCATATGCACCACCAATCGATGAGTCAGCTACATTACCTGTTATCAAATCATCGCCCATCAAGAAAAGAAAAGAAAAATCTAGACATTGCATATTGCTGGCTACTTACTCCCGGGCATGAAGTTGGATTTCCCATCCAATCAGCACCATGCTCGAATCGCTCGCTTCCTCGTAAGACACACGCGTGTAAGCTAGAAAGGGGGGGGGGTGCGAACGGATAAGCACTATCCCCAATCACGTTACCTTATCCGTTGCTTTGCTTGCTGCTTGCCCCGGTCAATGCATATGTATGCAGTGAGGTGGAGCTGATACCCTGGGCCCTGGCTATTTGCTGTGTACTGTATGTAATGTACTAGGTGTCTATCTCGTTCCCGCCGGTGTGACGTATCCGGTCCTCGGCTGCGTTCCAGAACACCTATGCTGGATTCGTGCTTCTATCTGCTGTTACTGCTACTATTGCTGTTGAGTTTTTGCTCATCCAATGCTAAGCTCAGGTGTAGATATGTAAGGAGAGCAGAGCAGAGCAGAGCAGAGCCAGTCCGCTAAGTACCGCAAAAAATCTAGATTACCGCTTCACCCATCACACCGACAACCACGGAAAACCCTCGCTATGCCCACGCCACACGGCTATGCAATGGTTCTAGACGAAACAAAGGCTCTGACTCCTACAACGGGCCACCCTTCTTATCAGCATCCCAGTCCGACTAAATGTACTATGGATGTGTGCAGGCACAGGTTTTGTTACTCACGGACCCACAAGCGATTGATTCATTGCAACACACTCACATCCGTATCCGTGACATCTTGAGAGCGAAAATACAAACGTGTGCGTGCGTGTTTGACTCGGTGTAGCAAGGCCAATGTGAGTCAATCCGTCAATCGTAAAAGTACGATTATCACATTACTCGATAGATCAGCAATCGCGATGCTGGGTAATGCGTTTGGCGGTGCTGACGTCAAATACACATACGGTTTACATATGTACATACATACATACATACATACATACATCACTCTTCTATCATGGGGATCAAACAGCCATGCATGCAGCTGATAGCTACAAACACAAAACACCAACACCATCATCAGCATCGCCATTGCTCTACATCCCCACCGCGCAAACACATATGTCATCTCTCTCTCTCTCTCTCTCCCAAATCCCCTTCTTGATTCCACATCCCTCTTTTCGCCCCCATTTCCCAACAATCCATAGATAAGTCCAAGTTGCTTTGTCAAACCCACACTTGGACTTCCGCCCATGGTCGGATTTCTCTCGGGGTCCGGTAAGTATAGCCCCCCCTTATCAGGCGCTAGTGCCCGATTGGGATATAGCGCGACGGGTAAGGGTAGCAGGGGGTTCTGGCGGCGTGTCGATCCTAACGTGAGTATGAGTGCTTTTTTTTTCGAAGGGACGGGAACGTTGTAGGGTTGCCAAGGCCCGAGACATATCCGCGGGATTGAGCCATGCGTCAGTATTGGGTGGTTTGTGAAGGGGAGATAGTGTGAAAGGATTTGTGTTTCGTACGAAAGGGCTGGCAAGTGTTTTTTTGCCTTTTCTTATCGTTATTGCGGTGCAAGTGCATGTATATATAGAGTCGGGGACCGTCCCGACATGGGAGGATTGCATCAGTAAGATTCAAGTGGTTCTCATAACATACTTTGTGGATTCTGTCATTATAGCTAGACAGTGTCTGATCTGACCTTACACATTCTTTCCCTCTGCAAGGTTTAGCATTTACGGTTCCTCTCACACACAAGGGCCTTGTGGTCCAACGTCGTCCGCCATGGCCACAGAAGGCATCCGATTCCCCATGTCAAGGGACTTTGCAGATACGCACGCGCAACCCCATTACATCGATGACGCGCTATCTGAACGAACGACCGTCGAACCCATCCACCGAGTCCCCACAGCCGAAGACATTGTCAACCTTCCCACCCGCACGCTCTCCAACAATGCCGCCCTCGAAGAATACACCCAGGAAACCGTCTCAGGACAGATGATTCGAGAGGTTCGATCCAATGCCGGCAAGGTTGAGCGATACGATCTCGTCACGTTTGTCGTGGATGATAAGGAGAACCCCAAAAACTGGAGCAAGGCGTACAAGTGGTGGTGCACCATGTGTGTTGCTATAACTTGTTTCGTTGTAGCCTTTAACTCGGCAGTCATCACGGCGGATCTTGAAGGCGTATCTGCAGAGTTTGGGGTTAGCGAGGAGGTTGCGCTCCTTACTATTACGCTTTTCGTCGTGGGTTTTGGTGTCGGGCCTATGGCATTTGCACCTGCGTCAGAGATCTGGGGTAGGAGGCCTGTATATGGTGTTACGCTTGCCCTTGCGGTCATCTTCACAATCCCCGGTGCAGTGGCGCAAAACATTGGTACTTTGTTGGCTACGCGGTTCATTGCTGGTGTAGCTTTCTCAGCGCCCATGACGCTTGTGGGCGGTACATTGGCGGACATGTGGAGGGCTGAGGAGAGAGGTGTCCCGATGGCAGCTTTTAGTGCTGCCCCCTTTATTGGACCTGGTGTTGGCCCGTTAGTTGGTGGATACCTCGGAGAAGCTGGTGGTTGGCGCTGGCTCTACTGGATTCAACTCATCCTCAGCGGTGTGGCGTGGTTCCTCATCACATTCACGGTTCCGGAGACGTACGCACCCAAGATTCTCGCCAAGAGGGCGGAGAAGATGCGCAAAGAGACGGGCGACGACAGATATATCACGGAACAAGACCTCGATATGCGACCCTTCAGTCAGCGCCTCCAGCTGTTCCTCCTACGGCCGTTCCAGTTGCTCTTCCGCGAGCTCATCGTCTTCTTGATCTCGGTGTACATGTCCGTTCTCTATGGTCTTTTGTACATGTTCTTTGTCGCCTATCCAATCGTATACCAAAAGGGCAAGGGATGGAACGCAGGGTCAACTGGCCTGATGTTCATTCCGCTTATCGTTGGTGTTTTGCTCTCGGCCGCATGCGCGCCTCTCGTCAACAAACACTACCTCAAGCTCTCGGAGAAGCACAATGGCCACCCACCAGCGGAAGCACGCTTGATACCCATGATGTGCTCATGTTGGTTCATTCCCATTGGTGTCTTCATTTTTGCCTGGACCAGCTACAAAGACACTCACTGGGCTGGCCCTGCATTCGGAGGCGGAGCGGTCGGTTTCGGCTTCATTTTCCTGTACAACTCGGCAAACAACTACCTCGTCGATTCGTACCAGCACCAGGCCGCCTCTGCCTTGGCTGCCAAAACATTCCTGCGTAGCTTTTGGGGCGCGGGCGCTGTGCTCTTCACGAACCAGATGTATGACCGCCTCGGAGACCAATGGGCAAGTTCGCTTCTCGCCTTCATTGGCCTTGCGTGCTGTGCGATTCCTTTCCTCTTCTACTTTTATGGAGCACGGATCCGGGCGCGTTCGCATTACGCCTACAGTGAGGAGGCAAAGACCAAGGATGAGAAGCAGGTTGCATAAGTGGCGATGGAGTAAGACGTGTCACGTGACGTATACCCACGGTTATCGAGCAGTTCATTTCTGTAGTAGTGCATTGCAAGGCGTTTGGAGGGGCCGGCATACCCCTGTCCTGTGTATATTATATTAGCACTGAGTAATTGTTTCCAATCCGTAAATAAACCTGTCGTTTCACATTACGCTGCCGTGGCCAAGTGATGGGCAAACGCCGATGCTGATGCGATTGCTGCGAACTGGCGTGTTGAGTCATGAACTAACATGGTGGACGCGTGTAAGCAAGGCTTGGTGATGTCATAATCGAGGGTGGTGGTGAGGGCCTTGTCGTTGAGGAAGGGGAAGCAAAAAGACTAGGGAAAATTTGGAGGCTAGCAGCGGGCAAGTCGCGTGATTAGCTGATTCAGAGAACAGCCGGCGATCCTGAGGCTGGCCGGAGTGGGGCTTCAGCGAGCGGAAAGCCCGAGCGAACAACCACTCCACCCAAGCGCGCTTGTCCGGCCCATTTCGCCTTTCGACGACTTTCCTCCGAACTTCGACCATGGATGACTTGAAGGACCAGCACAATCCACATGCGCCAAATGGATATATGCAGGACACGCCGCCGCGAGCTGATGTCGACGAGATCTTGAGGAGGAAGCGGAAGGCACGAGAGTACAAGGTACGCACGATTTGAATGCGTCATGCACGAGCAGCCGACATGGAGAGTCGAGAGTGACGAGGAGGCCGTGACGGGCGTCTGGCACTAGCATGAGGAGTCGAAAAACAAACCGCCTCTCTGGTTTGCCGAATTGGGCTATATCTCCCGGCGCATTCTGGCCTGGTAGCAGCGCGGGCCCCACGGTGATGCGCTGACTTCTTGATTCACCTACAGGCTTGCTATCCGTGTCGCCAGCGCAAGGTCAAATGCGACCAAAACGTGCCATGCAAGACGTGCGTTGTGCGCGAACATCCCGAACTATGTACCTACCACCCCCCCAGCGAGTCGCACCCCACTGCGAAACGAATAAACCTCGGCGTCGGACAGAACAACGGACATGACTTCTCCAACGGCCTGGTCCATATACACGGCGGCACTGTTACGCTGCCCCGAGAGGTGCGCATCCAAGCGGAAAGGGCAATGAGTACACGCTGACCTCGGCAGGACTGGGAGCGCATCTGTGGAAAGCTGCAGCAGGCCGAGAAGTCGCTCAGCGATCTGAAGAATGCTGTCGGCAGCGTCGCAGAGATTCCACCTCCGATAAATGGCTTCTCCCCAGGAGATGGATCTGGGAACACGCCCTTGGCAGCGGCAGCGCCCATGGACGGCGAGCAGAGCCACGTTCGAACCCAAGGGATACACACGCGCAACGACATCACCGGCCAAACGATTCACATTGGACCCAGCTCCGTCCCGGCGCTCGTCATGGCTCTGGGAAGGGGCGATACGCAGTGGGCGCCTGGGGTGCAGGATTTGCTGGGCAAGAAGAGCATGCTGCCGATATTTGGTCTGGACAACGAAAGCGCGACATACCCATTTGTCGATTTATGGGGGCTGCCTCACGGATCGATACTGCGCGCCCGGGAACTAGCCAACGCATTGCCGAGCGACTCTGAATGCCTCAGCTTCTTTCGGAGTTATCGTGAAACCGCACACGCCGTTTACCCCGCCGTTGCTGACATCGAGGCCATTGAATCCGATCTCCTGCTCTTTCTGATTAACCGCGCAAGCTCACAGGGCACCAACGGCATAACAGATTCACAAATACACGGCAAAGACTTCCACTGGATAGGCCTGGTGTTTGCGATATTAGCTTCAGGATGTCAATGTTCAAGTCTTTCAAGAAGAGAGCGGGAGTTGACCTCGCAGGTCTACGTGTGCTGCAGCTTCGAGTGCCTACGCTTTACCAACTTTTTATCGCATGCGAACATTGAAAACATACAAACGCTGCTGGTTCTGGGAAATGTCATTTCAAACAACATGAATGCTGGCGTGGCTTGGAGTCTGATGGGTTTGACAGTTCGTATTTCGCAGACACTAGGATTACACAGGCAATGCCCACAGTCAACGCCAGTGCATCAAAGAGTCATTCGGAGCAAGGTATGGTGGGCACTGCTTTGGCAAGACTCGCTACTCTCTGTTTCGTACGACAGAGCCTCATCAACCACCACCATCGACCACACGGTACCAATGAGCCAACACACTGCGCCCGGGACAAGGACATATGTCGAGAGCATGTATCGCCTTTGCAAAGTAGGACTCGACATTGTGCGCGAGCGTCAACGGCCACAGAATTCACACGATGCGCTCATGAGGATTACCGAGCATCGCAACGAGCTCCAGGAAATCATGATAGACGCGGCGGATTATCTCAAAGACTCGCGGAGATGTCGGTCGATGCGGGACCAGCTGGAGCATTGGGCACTATACCTCCACATCTCATACGTCACATCTGAGCTGTGTCGACCGGCCATTAGCCCGGCAACAGCCAACTTGGATCTTTCCAAGACGCTACGTAAGACATGTATCGACAGCCTTACCAACACGGTCGAGGCGTTTCTGGGCTTGCAAAGCATGACACCATTTGCCACTCGATCTTGGTCGGCGGTGCACCGCTCTTTGAGCTCTGCTCTTTTGCTTGGAATCCTCGGCGAGCACAACCGCAACGAACGCGCGCGCGGACTTTTGCAAAACGTGATCCAAGTGCTTATCGATGTGACCAAGGACGTCGACCCTGCCGAGCAGTCGACGCCTATTACACGGTCTGTCTCGGCGCTTGAACGACTGCTCAGAATCGGATCAACGCACACACGAAAGACCAGCGAGACTAGCTCACAAGCATCGCCCACCATGCACGTCTTCACAGCGCAAGACATCAACAACGCACTCGGAAGTGACACGGAAAACATGTTCTCCCAATCCCCACTGGCTGGGTTAGAACTGGACTCGTCGCCATACGCCCTTATGGAGAGTATTGTGTGGGGGGCGCAAAAGACGCCATAAGAAAGAGCATGGGAGGATGTATATGCAAGCAAAAAGGATTCCATGATACCCAAAAAGGCTCTGAAGCGGCAATATTCTAAGCAACAAGCGAGCGATGGGCAACGACATTGCTACTTTCGACTTTTTTTATTCTTTTGTTTATTGTATAGTCACACTCGTGGACTGGTAGTTAAGCGGAGCGCCACAGCCGATAGGGGCAAGGCGGTGTGTTTGTAGTATTAAAAGTGGAAGGCCTGTAGTTGGGGATAATGAAAAGGCTCAGCAAGAGTACTCTCACTGCATGCATGCCAAGATTTGCATGTGGTTGCGACGTCTGGTTGTGCTAGGGGCAGGCTAGCATGACGTTGCTTAAGCGAGAGACTGGGTGCAGGACCCTTGCCGCCGTCACGATTGCACGTCTCTGCCTTGTAGTCAGAGCCGATAGCTTCCTCGCGGATGGGCCTTGACGCGCACTCTTCCTAGAGTTCTCCTAACGACTCCCCCGTCGTCCCACAGCCGCACACGCGCTCTCGCCATGTTTATGCTCCGGAACCGTGAGTGCCGCTTTGTTTGCTTGTCTCAGCCCGCTCCCTGCGAATACCCCTCCCCCGCCGTTGCCGTAACGACACTAACCTGTGCCGCCACCAGTGGGTAAACTTGTCTTTGGCGATAACTCAAAAGAGACGATTGTCGAAATCCCCCAGGGCCAGCTCTACATTGTCCGCCCCCGCTCTGTCAAGGGCTATTCCGAGCTCATTTTCAAAGACGCCGCAGCCACCATCCGCCGCACGGGACAGGAGTTCCAGTACCAGCTTGTCGTCCAGCGCGCATACGAGGAGGGCGAGGAGGACCTGCTTGCAGACGAGGACGAGGACGCGGCGCTGGGTGCGCTAGCAGGAGACAAGGACGAGAAGACATTTCTGCTTGACGAGGACCTGCAGTTTCGCGACGACGTCCGCTCCACCGGCGAGAAGATCTTTGCCTGGCGCGACCTGAGCGGCGACATCGACGACCTCTGGGAGTTTGTGTGCGACCCGTCAGTCAAGCCCGAGACCGCTGATCTCTTTGAGCGCGTGGCCCTGCAGTGCCAGTACGAGAGGAAGTTCAGGCGGAGCCACGTCCACGCGACCGAAGACGATCTCGCTGCCCTCGCTTACTACGAAGAGCCCATTCCCGACGCAAGTCCCATCGTCAGCCCCACAAGCTCAACTACGTTCGTCAAGCCCATCGAGCTCCCAACCACCCAAGACCTATTTCCCAACACTACAAAGGAGACAATGGCGAAGAAGGCTGCTGGAAAGGGCGCTGTCCCAGAGCACGAAGAGGCTACTGCCGCGCCACCATCTGCCGCGCAGCCACAGGCCCTTGAGACGCTGGTTGAGGGAGATGCTGAGCTCCACCTCTTCGACTTCCCGTCGGGCACCTTTATCAGGCAAGATGCCAAGGTCAACGTTACGGTGACTGAAATCGGCGACTGGGACTACTGGTTACACATTGTGGGCGAGGAGCGCGAGTGGCTTGGACAGCCCATTGTGGAGGACATCAACCCAGTTTTCAACTACGAATACAAGTCTTTTATCTTCAATCACTACCTGGAAGACGGCTCCGCATACTCATGGCTTCTGAAATTCAACGAACAGGAAGAGCTGGAGAACATGCAACAGGGTGTCATGCAGGCACTCTGGGAACACCTGAACAAGACGAAATGGGGCAAAGCAAAGGATACGGACCGCGAGTACGTTCTGGAAGCATTCCAGGACATGACCATGGAGGATGTGCCAGAAGAAGAGCAGGAGGAGGAGGAGGAGGAAGAAGAAGAGGAAGAAGAGGAGATTAATGACCAACGCAGCGAGCACTACGATTCAGACGAGTCTGAAGACGATGTCGAGACCCGCCCCAAGGACGGAGACGAGAACTCGCAGCTGGCTGTTGGCTACAAACACGACAGATCGTTTGTTGTGCGTGGTGACAAGATTGGTGTCTTCAAGCACACTGCCGACAACCAACTACAATTTTCCACCACCATTTCAAACATCAAGACTCCAAAGGGCAAGGCTTTCAACCCCAACAAGGTCATGCTTCACCAGCAGGATCGGGATATGATTCTGCAAAACTTGGAGAACCCCAACAACCTTTACCGGATGGATCTGGAGACTGGCACTGTTGTGGACGAATGGAAGGTACACGACGACATTCCAGTCAAGGTCTTTGCACCAGAGAATGTACGTACAGTCGCTATCTTGCAGTGGTGTATCTTGGGCTGACAGTACACAGAAATTTGCTCAAATGAGCGGCGAACAGACTTTCTTGGGTCTCTCAGGCAATGCCCTCTACCGCATAGATCCTCGCCTGTCTGGCAACAAGCTTGTCGATGACCAGCTCAAACAATATGCTACCAAGAATGCCTTTTCCGCTGCTGCAACCACTGAAAAGGGTCACATCGCCGTGGCTTCGGAGAAGGGAGACATTCGTCTGTTTGACAGACTGGGTATCAACGCAAAGACTCTGATCCCCGCGCTAGGCGACCCCATCATTGGCATGGACGTCTCGGCAGACGGCCGCTGGGTGCTTGCCACTACGCGAACCTACCTTCTCCTCATTGACGCACTTCAAAAAGGCGGCAAGAATGACGGTAAACTTGGATTTGAAAAGTCATTCGCCAAAGATGACAAACCACAACCCCGCCGGCTCGCCCTTACGCCCGCCCATGTCGCGCAGTTCCAACACGAGACCAAAGCCCCAATCTCGTTTACCACTGCACGCTTCAATACCGGTCTCGAAGACAAGGAAACCACAATTATCACTGCTACTGGTCCCTTCATTGTCACCTGGAGTCTGAAGAAGGTTCTTGCTAACCGCAAAGATCCCTACAGCATCAAGCGCTATGCCGAAGAGGTCAAGGCTGATAACTTCAAGTTTGGCTCCGATAAGAACTTGATTGTCGCGCTACCCAATGAAGTGGACATGGTTGCGAGAAGGGCGCTGCAGCGGCCAACTCGGGAAAGTATCGCGACACCAAGCTTTGTTGGTGGTGGCAGGAGGAGTGGGGTGCGTGGAAGCTACCTCGGCCGGAACGACATTGTCAACAGTCCTTACTAGGATTTGCGGTGGGTGCGGGGTGGTAGGAACGTGACTTTTTACGAGATGCAAATCGGGAGTGATTGCAATGAGTCGACCCGTGGGGAATGATGATGGCGATGGCGATGGCGATGGCGATGGCGATGGCGTTGGAGATGGCGTTGGCGTTTGGCTATTTCGTCGCTCTCAGGCTTTGATCATGTTGGAGTAGGAGTTCACGTCGTGAGCAGAATGTTTTCCACGTCATGTGAGTAGGACGGTCTCCATGTCATGTGAGCAGGACATTCTCCACGTCATGTGAGCGGGTTGAACCCATTATGATTCACCTTGCATGACTTTTAGCAATGCATCATGGAATGATTGAATGGATGTGTTATTTTGCATTGGAGATGATGTGTTGGTTGTAGATTGACGTGCAAGTGCAAGGACAATAAAGACAGTCTCTCAGTCGCATCAAGCAAATCCATCCATTCCAAGACGTTTACCAGAAGAAAACTACTAACCCGACACAATTAACCAGCTGCATCTTTCAAAGATAACAACTAAATCCATCCATCCATCCATTCATTCATACACGGTTAGAAATCCAACCAATCACAGCGCCGTCGAAATGGCTTACTCGACTTTTTCCCCAGTAAGTAACAGTACCCACTCGGCGGCGCGACGCAACCTCGGCATGTCCATGTCAGACCGCCCACGCCGCAACCTCGGGGCGGCAAGCCTTTGTTTCCTTCCTCCACTTTCGCTGCAGCCATATATACGCCTATACACGGAGTTGGATGCAGTGGTGATTTTTTGTTTCCGTGTCGTAGCTATCGTCGCATCACATACATACTTACATACACACGGACGCGCGCGCGCCCTCCCGAACCTCTACTTACCTCAGACTCATCACGACAACGACAACCACGACGAACGACAACGACGACAACGACGAACGACGACGACGACAACGCCCAAAATGAGCGAATCCCTCACCGCCGCCCAAGTCGCCGAGCACAACACGGTCGAAAAAGGCCTCTACATCATCATCGACAGCGACGTGTACAAGCTGGATTCCTTTGTCGACGAGCATCCCGGCGGCGCCAAGATCCTGAAGAGAGTAGGAGGCAAGGATGCGAGTAAGCAGTTTTGGAAGGTAAAGAATTTCCCCATTTCCTTTTTTTTTTGAATTCCCCGTGCGGTTTGGGAGGGTGCATGTGCATGTGCATGTGCATGTACATGGGGGGGGGGGTGTGATGATGTAGAAGAAGAAGAAGAAGGATACAAGTACTCAAGCTAACTCGTACATGTGTGAATTGTTTGTAGTATCACAACGAAAACGTCCTCAAGCGTTACGGCGCAAAGCTCAAGATTGGGAGTGTAAAGGAAGAGGCAAAGTTGTAGTTGTAGTTGTAGACTGCTGCTGCTGCTGCTGTTACATAGACGTACTGTAGATGGAATAATGATGATAATATGATGTTTTATTTCCCCCCCCCTCCCCCTCGCTGGGATTCTGGATTCTGCATTCTAGATTCGACATGTATATGGGGAAATACATGATTGTTTGATTCGCTCTCTCTCTCTCACACACACACACTCTCTCTCTCTCTCACTCTCTTTCTCTCTCTCTCTCTCTCTCTCACACACACACACACACACTCTCTCTCTCTCTCTCTCTCTCTATGTGTGTGTATATCTATCTGCTTTGTACAGCATGGTGCCCACTTGAATACACGACGATGGATTATATGCTGCACGCACATGTAGATGTAGATGTAGATGTGAAGAAAGCAAACTTCAAGGATGAAGAAGATGGAAATTACAAAGTGGCTATTTTCTAGTCCATGTATTGTAGGGCGATGGACTAGGATATATGTATATATATATAGATGTAGATGGAGATGTATATATGTGTGGTATGGTATAATGCATTAACTCTGTTCCTCTCCTCTCCTTTCTTACTCTCTTTCTCTCCCCTCTCTCTTTCTCTCCCCCACGCTCAAAAAACCCCCAGATAAACAGATAAACACACTTTCGCATGTACATCCTTTGCTCCAGAATAAAAAAAAAACTAAATGCCGTGGGTATCGTCAATAACAAGTCCGTCAGTCGGCCCAAAAGAAACAAGAAAATCAATAAACGCCACTTCCCCACCCACCGGCTCCCCTTATCTCAATTTGAGGGACCCCCCCTCCCCCCAGCCAGCAGCTGATGAACGCCTGTATGTATGTATATGGATGGATTGGATGGATTAGATGGATAAGAGGGAGAAAAAAAGGAATATAAGAAGAAATTAGAGAAAAAAAGAAGAAGAAGAAGAAGAAGAAAAAAGAAGAGACATGTACTAACTGAGGAACATGTTCATAGCCGCGTTATCGGGTCTAAAAGACAAAAAAGAAAAAAAGAAAAGGAAACAATAGGTTCCGGCACGCACGTGCTGTATCGATATGCGTGGATGGATGGATGGATGGATGGATGAATAGTGGTGGTATGTGCAGCCGAGTCGAGTCGAGCCGAGCCGAGGCGTGGGGAACAAGTCAATATGGCGTCGACTCTTCCTCGTCATCATCATCATCATGGTAGTTTCCAGCCCTGAGCTTCTCAAAAGCAGATTCAGAAACAAATCCACTTCTTCTTCTTCCTCCTACTACTCGCCGGTCTGGGGACAGGACTCGTGCGCGGTCTATTGTTATTATGATTGTCATGATTGTTGGTCTCTCCATCTTGTTTTTCCTCCATGGCGCCATGATGCACAGCAAGACGATCGGTGGAAATGCGATAGCGACGCACGGAGCCAGCATCCGAGTGATTCTGAATCTTGTCGTTGTAGAAAGATTCGTGTGGACCCGAAAGAGAGCTCGGCGTGATTTTGCGGAGGAAGCCGCGCAGGCCGCTATTTGCCTTGTCGATGCGTTCGTATTCGCGTTTGCGGGTGCAGGGCGAGGTCCAGTGCATGGTGGTGTTTGTCTTTTGGGTGGTTGGGGGGTCGGCAGTGGGGGGGCATTCCTGGACGACGCGCAGAGAGTCGTCGGTGCTGAAGCGCGTGGCGGTGGTGGGATAGTAGGGTGGCGCGTCGGATTGCGAGAGCGTGGGCGAGGGCAGCGCCGAGCTGGCGTGGTACGAGGGGTTGGTGAAGATGCTGCAGCTGCGGAAGTGGAGGGCGAGCACATCGTCAATGTCGTGTGTCGGGGGCGCGGCAGACGGGGTTTGGAAACTCTTGATGCGGTAGTGACGCGCTGGCCTCGAGGGATCTACAATGGTGCACGAGGTGCGGCGCGACGAGGGTTTGGAGCCATGGCCGCCTCGGCTTTTGGATCGGTTGGTCGAGTTTTCTGACGACGTGGTGGATTGCTGGCGGAGTGGGCGTGAGCGGTGTTCTGATACGGGACGTCGGTGGTCCATGTGGGCGAGGTGCAGGGCGGATGAAGATCCAACGGCCGATGTTTTAGATGCGGGTTGGCGAGTCGATGTGCTCTTGCTCCTGTGAAGCGGCAGGGATTCTTGGTTGGCCATGTTTGAAGGCGACGAGGATGCAGCGCATGCACTGTCTATTCGATCCATTGCTGATCCATAGAAGGGAGTGATTTGAATAAAATAAAAATCGAGAAAACGACAGTGACGTAGACGAGGGCTGGAAGGCCCAGAGGAGGTGATATGGTTCCGTCAATGTCAACCTAGTGGTTGATAATTTCGGTACTCGTCTGCATTGGTAGTTAGCATGGCAATAGCCACGACCTGTGCTCAAGGGGTAAAATAATGGGCATACCAGCAGCCAGTGCCAACACACGCCGAGACGAACAGAGCTATGTTGATGAGATGGATGCCTCGGACAGACACAAAGGACGGGCAAGCAAGAGAGGCAGGGGGAGAATCGAAGGCGTGGGCGGGTCGATCAAGTGACGCAGCGCGGGGGCCGGCCTCGAGAGACTTGATGGAATCAAGCGACGCGATCAGAGTAGGCACAGAGAGAGGGAGGCTAGGACTATTAGTTTATAGCCAACCCGGGGCCAGAGGATGCAGGCGTCGATCGCCAGCCGTTGGCGTGCCCACGCGCCGTGGCAGAGCGACCAAACGGCGTGCAAGAGAGCTTAGACGGGGCCTGAGCCGAGCGCGTGGGCGGGCTGTACACCTAGGCCAAAAGCTTCAACCTCACCGCCTGACAAGATGAGGGTATCCGAGGGGCTAAGCCAAGTGATTTGGAAAAGACTTAGCGGCGCGATTTAAAAAAAAACTGGAGAGTGGAGGCCGACGGCTAGTTTCCGTGCGTTTGAGAAGGGGAGCATGACAGGCGCACTAAATATGTCACAGGCTAAGTCGCACGCAGGGGGGGTGGCAGGGCAAAAGAAAAGGGAAGAAGAAGAAGAAGTACTTGGAAGAAGAAGACAGGCATGTGAAAGAGAGAGAGAGAGAGATAGTGAATGATGTGGCACACGGGCGATAACGAGGGCAGACGATCCCGCCAGGGGCGTGTGACAGAGCAGCAAGGGCTTTGGGGACGTCGAATGGCAGCCTCGTTTCCCGTGCCAGCATGGGCGGCGGGAAGGACCGAATCAACAGCGAGCGCGGCACACCAGCGGCACGGGGCCAAGAGCCATGGATGGATGGATGGATGGATGGATTGATGTACGCGCTCGACTCGACTCAGACAAGCGTACTGTACGCGCTTCCTGGCGTGGTGGAGGCCCTTTTGCTGGCTGCTTGTGCATGGCACGCAGCGAAGCCAAACCCACAGTCGCGGGACATACGTAACTAACCAAGTATAGGCACGCCTACGCGCTGTGGAAATGCGGCCGCCAGTCGACCATGTCGGGGTCCTGTTAGCACGGCCACTACTGTACTTGGCTGTTACTACATGAGTTGCTGCATGCATGCATCCATGTGCATATGCGGTCTGCTGGCCCGTCGCCTTTGCACGTGTGCGTGTGCGTGTGCGTGTGCGTGTGCGTGTGCGTGTGCGTGTGCGTGTGCGTGTGCGTGTGCGTGTGCGTGTGCGTGTGCGTGTGCTCTTCACGAATCCCCCCCCCCCCCTCCGATGCCTCGACGAGCACACGCACACTGATGCTGCAACAAAGAAGCGGTAAGTTTGCTGCTTGACTCGTGCTCGTCACGCCGATACCACATCAATATATATCTTTTTCTTCTTCCCCAGTTCCTGGGCCCCCCCCTCCCCCCCCTTCTGTTGCAGTAACGCATGGATCGTGCATCGTTCGGTGTGCATGTACGTGTGGGTATTGCTGTACTGCATGTGCTGCCGTTACTGTATCTCGTGGTAAAACGCCTCAATCAACCTCGCCACCTCGTCAGCCGCCTCGAGACAGTGCCAGTGCCCCACGCCCGCCAGAACCTGCATCTTCTTGTCACTGCACCCAAGCTCGCCAAACATCTTGCGGCAGTCCTCGACCGGCGCGCTCTTGTCCTCGTCGCCCGCGAGGATGAGGACAGGCACGCGGATGCTGCTGTACGCCGGCACCGCTGCATTGACGATGACCCGGCAATTGGATACGTAGCCCGCCGGGTCCTGTGCCAGCAGCAGCTCGCGCATCATGGCTTGAGCAAGCAGCGATGCGTTTTTCCCCACCGCCGCCTGCGGAATGCTGTCGGCCAAAGCCTGCATCCCGTGCGCCTCAACCGTCGCCATGCGCTTTTCAAACACGCCTGCCAGCCCGCCGTTGGGATACACGGGGCCGATGAGCACCGCCGCAACCATGCGCTCGCTGCGCTCTGCAGCCAGATGCGCGCCTACAATACTAGTACATGCAAATCAGTCTTTTTTTCTTTTTTTCTTTTTTTCTTTTCTCCTTTTTTTCTTGGCCATGTGCGTTGAACAAGAAGAAAATTTTCAAGTAAAAAAAATGAAACTCACCCGCCCATGCTGTGCCCGACAAAAACCGCCTTTTGCACCCCGAGCGCATCCATGACACCAATGACATCCCCGCCCAGCGCCTCGACGCTCTGCTCAATCCCCGTGTACGGCGAGCGCCCGGCACCCGTGTTGTCAAAGGCGATGCATCGGAACCCGCTGGCCACGAGCCTCTGGCACACGGCGTAGTAGTAGTTCTGCGACGAGCCCAGCCCGTGCATCAGGACGAACGTCTCGCGCGCCGGCTGCTCTCCTGCGGGCCTCCACTCGACATAGTGAATTCGTTTATATCCGACGTCCAGCAACGGCATCTTCCCCGCTGTGTTTCCTTGCGTTTCGTATGTGTGCCTGTCTTGGCAGAAGTCGCTTGCTCACGCGCGCCGCCTTGGAGGGGTTGTCGGAGACTGGTGAGAACCTCATGCATCCCGCGCACTAGATGATCGACGCTGGCGCTGGCGCTGCCACTGCACTGAAGTCATGTGGGTACGAGAGAGGGGGGGGGGAAATTGGCATTGGGAACCGACAGGGGGGCTTGAGTGAGCATCTTCCTCTCCATCTCTCCAACACCTACTTACTCTGGCCAATAAGTAATCTGACAGATTGGCCCATGCAAAGGGGTGGCTGAGGAAAAACCGCACATATGGTAAGACTCACGTTATCCCTCTCAAACAAAACACATCTCCTTGAAACTTTTGTTTTAATTTTAGGCCAGGTTGCAATTTCCCCTTTCCCCTTCCTTGGCCTCCCTATGTGTAATTCTCTCTCTCTCTCTGTATGTATTCAAACTTACAGAAGATCCGATAATATTATCGAAGCAGTTTACCTATCCTTAGCCAAAGCCCTACCCCTACTCCGTTAACACCCCCCCCCCAAAAAAATAACACGCTAAGAGAAAGAAATGAAGAGAAAAGTGGAAGAAAGAAAGAAAGAAAGAAAGAAAGAAAGAAAGAAAGAAAGAAAGAAAGAAAGAAAGAAAATAAGAAAAAAAATAAGAACAGATTTGGGTTAACTTCACATTGCAAGTGTTCCCCCCTCTTTTGTAAAAGTCACATGGTACATGTCCTTGAGTGCATCCATACACCGTTGCCTGAGCCCCGATTCCTGCAGCAGACTCCGGTCCTGCAGCAGCGTCCACACGAGCTGCGCCAGCCCTTCCCGCGTCGTGACCTTCTTCAGCCCGTCGTTGCTGCCGTCGTCCTTGGCAGCCTCGTCGCCCGTCGCACTCAGCGTCTCCCGGATGCTCTTGGCCCGCCGCCGGAAGAAGAAGATGCTGCGTGTCATGCCCTCGCCGGCTTTTTCGTCGCTGTGCCAGAGCGCTACGCGCGTCATAAAGTGCTTGATGGCCTGCTCTTCAAACTGCCCCCGCCGCGCTGCAATGGCCGCATCAAACTCGTCATCTGCGGGGTACGAGTTGGGATCCCAGAGCCGGAGCAGGTAGCGGAAAGCCCGCACTTCGACCTGCGGAAGACCAATGTCGCTGAAGTCGGACGCAAACGCTTCACTCGACATCATCGACGACGACGAAGACATGGGCCGTCCGCTCGTCGTGCTTGTTGGTGTCGACAGCGGTTCGTGTTCGTACTTGAGCTCGAGGGCCTGGTGCGTGTCGATGACTCGTTGGAGAGCCACCCGTTGGTTCTGAGGCACGGCATCGGTGCCCTGGAAGACCTGGGGATACGGCTTAACCGACCGGACTGAGCATGCTGAAAACGAGCGGAGAGAGGGCCGACTCCCACTCGAGCTGTGCGAGTAGACGGTGTGGCGCTTGGGTTGTGAAATGGTCGTCATGGTGAGTGCGTATGGGTGTGCGTATGGGTGTGTGTGTGTGTGTATGTGTGTGTGTGTGTGTAGAGACAGACGGGAGCTATAGGGTCAAAAAGGGAGAGAGAGAGCCGCGGCTTGCTGTTCACACTGGGGCAGACCAGCTCAACAGGGAAGAGAAACACGAGGAAAGAAGGAAAGAAACACCAGCAAAAGGCCAGTCAGCCGACAGATGCAGGCCGGCTAGCCAGTGATTGACCTGCGCACAAGCCGGGAGCCGAGCGTGACGCAATCCCCTTTTTTTTTCTCCCTCTCTCAAATAAGCAGCCGGGCTCCTCGAAAGCTTATGCCCTGGTTGACAGGTCCTTTGTACGCCAGCGTTGCGGCGTCGGTCGCAGGAGCGCAGTCGCCCGCACTGTTCGTTGGCAACTAAGCCACCCTGTCGTTTGAGCCACGCTTCCATGAGCCACTTCTGAGACGCAGTGTGGTTGAGTCACTGCGCCGCACGCTGCCGCATCATGCGGCACGCCTGCCAGTGGAGCCGCCCACCCGCTTTGGGCCTTAGCGTCCCCGCCTAGCGCCCCCGCCGCCCTGGCCTGCCTGCTCGGCCACCGCAGCCTCTCACTGCACACGCTGCGTACATGTACAGGGCGGTGCCGGCGCTGACGCGTTGCTCACGTGACCCCCTCAACCACCGCGAGCCGCCTGCCTTTGGCTTGCCACCATGCATGCATGCATGCCTGCCCCCGACCCCAGACGCCCATCGACACTACCCCGTACCGCGCACGGCCAAATCCGCCTGCATAGACTCGTGTGTGTGTGTCTGAATAATTGACCGTTTCGGAGCGCTTCCAACACCTAGCTGGCCAAGTAGAAATGCATCCTGTACTCAAAACGCCCTTGTCTGTGCACAAAACGCCTGGCAATGCACCCACCGTACCACCACCAGCCTAGAAAACTACCTGTCAACAAGACAACACCATCCACCACCCTACTCCCACCTACCATCCCCCCCCCAGATGCAAACAGTCTCTTCTAGCTCCAAGGCGGCACAGCCTCCGTCTTCCCATTCGGCAAAATGTGCTGAGTCGTCGACATGCGCATGCTCGGCGGCCGGCCCGTCTTCTTTGCCTCAGCCGCGCCATTTTCTGCCCCCGCATCCTTATTCCTCCTCCCCTCCTCACTGCCCCCCGTGACCTTGGGAAGCGTCTCAGCCTCGCTCAGCGCCTCCTTGACCATCTTCTTTGCCTCGATGGCCAGGTTCGGGATCTCTTGAGCCTCATTGCTCTTGTTGAGATACGACTCGAGCAGCGCCTTGAGTGTCTGCGCCCGCACCGGTTTGGCCAGGTAGTTGTTCATGCCGCTTTCAATGCCTTGGCAAAAAGTCAGCCCTCGCCCTCGCACCCGAGCAATCCCCCGGCACACAAGCCCGCCTATGTACCATAGTACTTACACTTTTCACGGTCGCCCTGAATCGCCGACGCCGTCATGGCGATAATGAGCACATTTCTTATCTCCGGATTGGGGTGCTTCCGGATAAGCCTCGTCGCTTCAAGTAGTCAGCAGCCTGCCCGCCAAACGCCTCGTGTCCAGGGGCGGTTTTACCTTCGTAACCGTCACAATGTGGCATTTGCACATCCATCAGCACAAGATGGAACGGCCGCCCGTTCTCCGATGCACGCTCCAGAGCATCAATCGTCTTGAACCCGTCGAGATAGGCATCGCACTTGAACCCCAGCTTCTGCACAAAGCTGATGGCGATGCGCTGGTTGATCAGGTTGTCTTCGGCAATGCACACTCGCAGGTCCCGCCGCAGGATGGTCGACAGATCAATGCAAGCCCCCGATGCGTGCTCATGACCATTGTTCTCCTGACTAGAGAACCGCGCCATGGGGTCCGGCTCTCTGCTCCTCTGCTGCTGATTGCCCGCCTGCGTCTTGGGCACCTTTTTGAACCGTAGCGAGAAAGTCACCGTCGTGCCCTTGCCCGGCTGGCTCTCGAGGCGAACCGTCCCATGCATGACATTTTCTATCAGAGCTTTACAGATGCTGAGCCCAAGGCCCGTGCCACCGTAGCTCCGCGCAGAGCTCGACTCTATTTGTGAAAAGGGAAGGAACAGTTTTTGCTTTTGTTCGTCTGGAATCCCGATTCCAGTATCAATCACACTGCATGTTACGTCTGCCCACTCGTCCGTCTCCTGGTCCACCACTGCGCGAACAGTCACCGACCCTCTTGGCGTAAACTTGTAGCTATTCGACAGTAGGTTCATCAGGATCTGGTGCAGCCGCACAGGGTCGCCCATGACTAGCATCTCCGGGTCTAGGTCCAGCTGCTCAATTGTTTTGAGCCCACGCTCCGCATTCGTGTACGCAAGAGCCCGAACAACCTCGGCAATGGTCTCGTTGAGCGATATGGGCATCTCCATAACGTTCATCTTTCCAGCCTCCAGCTTGGAGTAGTCTAGCAGATCATTGATGATGGAAAGCAGTGTGTCTGCACAGACGCGAATCGAGTCAGCGTATTCCGACTGCTCCGGATTCAGGGGCGATGCTTTCAATAGCTCCGACATTCCAATCACTCCGTTCAACGGCGTTCGTAGCTCGTGCGAAACATTGGCCAGAAAGAGGCTCTTGGCTTTGGCTGCCTCCTCCTTCAATCGCATGTTGCGGATAGCATTCGCCTCGGCTTCCTTTGCTTTGATCTCCGCCGCTCGCGCCTGCGCCAAGGCACGTTTTTGCATCTCGAGCATTGCCTCGTTGCTCGCCGAAACCCTCTCTATTTCCTTGAATAGCAGTGCATTGGCCAGCGAAATGGATATCTGATTGACCAGCAACCGAAGAACCTGCGTGTTTCGCTCCGTGAACGAGTTGGGCGGTCCTTCGACGTAAATCGATCCCAGCAGGTGATCGCTGTGAACAATCGGGATGCAAATGACCGCCTTGCCTTCAGGGTTGCGTTGGAGGTAAGAGTCCGACACGTTGGAGAAGCGGTCGTCTTCTAGCAGATTCTGAACAAAGACTGTTTCACGGAAGCGTAAGGTGTAGAGCGTCACTTGGCGGGCGACAAAATCGTCAACAGTGTCCAGAGGCTGACTCGCAGGAAACGATGTGACACCGGATTTGAATCCGCTGTCGTTGTTGGGCTCGTTGGTGGCCACGCATGCAATGGACCACTCAATCTGCGAGTCTTCAATGACAATGCCGCAAAGTGTTCCTCCGGTGGATTCCAGCAGGATAGAGCTCATCTTGGCCATGAGTTTGTCCACCACTAGTTCGCTAGAGAGAACCTGGCTCGACTCAAGGATAGACGAAAGATCCAACATGTCAAGACCTACGGCCGACAGCCCATTCTGCAGACCCTGGGCTGACTCCTGACGACGAGCGCCTTCGGGAATGATCCAGTTCTGCGTTCGATCAACCGCAGTTTCCGGCCCCAGGTCGTTCTGCTCGAGCCTAAATGGAGTGTTGGTTGTGTCTATGATCGACGTCTGGACAGCAGCATCTTGTGCAGTGAGTGAGGTAGCATGCCGGAGGAGGGACTCGTGTTTGCTTGCAAAGTGATTTGCCTTGCCAAACGCTGACATGCGCCTATATGTGGCAATGCAGTCCTTGACCGTGTGCCGAGCTGCTCTATAGGCCTTTTTTCGCACAAGCCAATCGGCGTAGAGCTCCAGACCCAATGCTTCGTCTAGAGTAAAGTTGTGGCACTCGCTGTGTTCTAGCACGGCTTCGTAGTATTGCAGCGCAGTTGGATGGTCAGAGTTGATATCGGCTAGTACGGCAGTGAGCATGTTCACCCAACTTCGATAGTTGACGTCAGTGATTGTGCAACAAGCCTCGAGCTGTTTCAGCGTGTCGCGAACATGTCGAAGCATTTCCTCTCTTCGCGTGTTCTGAGGGTCCTCTCGGAGAATGGCCATGTATGCCAATGACAAGTAGTATCGGACCGAGTAGTTGGAACGTTCGCACCAAAGGCTAGTTACCATGGGCATAAGTAGCTCACCAAGCGCGACGGCATCCGAGTTGAACCCGAACAGTACCAGTAGCGGGAGTTTGGTAGCCAGGTATATCGACTTTGGGCGTTTCGGGTTGCTCGCAGTCTTTTCAAGGAATTCGATATACTCTGCTTCGTTATGTTCGTGGTCGGACAAAATCGATGATGCGTCGGATATCCCCGTCTTGCCTTGGAGGGCCCTCGCGTATTGGCGGCTGGCCATCAGGAACACGCCTCCTCTTAAATCTTTTCGCCAGTGTTTCATATCCAAAGGAGTTTCCTCAATCCAAGCCTCCAACTCAGTAACGTCGTGAGAGGCCAGCATTTTGAAATGGGCCTGGATACCGACGTTTAAGAGTGCCAGAATGCGGTCCCCCGCAGTCAGAGTGGCTTGCAAAGCATCTTCTAGGGAGGGAATCAGATCATTTATGGGCCCTTCCAAGTGGCCCAGGAATACAGGCTGCAGGGTCTGGCCTCTGCCCAAGGTATAGTAATCTTCCGGAAACATCTGGAAGATACGTTTCGCCATGGCACCCATATCCACGGCGAAACTCATCATGTTGAACCGCCCACCTGCAATGCTGCCAAGGTGCACGTATGAAAGCGCAATCTGTGACATGGTGCCTTTTTCAAGGTGCACTTTGATCAGCATTAGCGTTACTTGATAGAAAAGCAAGCTGTTCGACCAGAATGCCGCGCTAAGGAGTTCAACGAACACAGGGCCGACGGTCATCAAGACGCGATCATTTTTCGGCGAGTGGCGACTAAGCAGCTCGTCCTTGTCAATCTTTTGAAGCGCACTGTAAATCTGCTGGAATTGCGCATCACATGCTTCCCATGTCGTAGAAGGGATGGGGTATCCAAGCAAGGACAGACAGTCTTTCAAGGCTTGGAGAGCTCTGTATATGATTAGTAAACCATTTAAAAACAAAAGTGCCAGCATGCATAGGAGCCTAGCAAAGTTACGTACCCAAAGCTATCACCACGGATGGCGAACACACGAGATTGTAGGATGAATGAGCCAGCCATATCACATGGATCTCTTGCATGCTGAAATGTAGTCTTGATCAGACTAAGAGCCTCATCATACATGCCTTGGTGCCAATAGCATTCTGCCGAGCGAACAAACAACTGCAGTGTCTCTTGATAAGAGACATCTGGCTGGCTTTCGTCCCATGGATCGTCTTGCAATAGCTTGAGGCTGTGTGCAAAGTAATAGATGCCTGTTGATCTCGCGCCAGACTCACATGCCGTCTCTCCTGCTTGGTAAAGCATGTCACGGAATGGCGCTCGTATCGATTCCTTGGACTTGATCAATTCCGCAGCAAGGCATATGTGGCGACTCTGCATGTACAATGCTTTAGAGCTTGACTCCGTGTCATCCAGATACTCCTTTCCCGAAATGATCATTTTGGCGATGGTGAAGTGCATCAGTTGGGTATCCCACTCCTTGTCCAAGGCATTGGCGGCGGCGGCTATATATCTATCGTGACTGAACCTAAATCGAGCGTCTTGCTCGGCAGGCATCAGCACGTACGCGTTGAGCGCCTCATTGAGAGCCGTGACAGCACATTCATTCTTATCAAAAACTGGCAGTCTAGCTCCGGCGGGTTGCTCGTCTGTTGGCTTCAAGAGCTTCTTCAGGAGCTCAAAAGAGAATGTGCCACCCAACAGGGAGGCCCACGCAAGAAGTTTTCTACTCTCGTAGGGTAGCTCAGTCAAGCGTCGAGATATGAAATCAGTCGTGACAGCAGAGCCGTATTCTGGGCTTTCGAACACCTCGAACACCTTGTCCAGGTCAAAGACCCAATTGTTCTCCCGCCACTCGTAGAAGACACATCGTTTCCTATAGCATGTATCAAGGATCTCGCGTATGTAAAACAGGTTACCCCGAGACTTTTCCTGGATGACAGCTACCAAAGGGAGTATGTATTGATGGTCTCGGTGCAGAGTTTCCGCTACGTACTCTGCAGTTTGAGCTTCGGTAAACGGCAGCAGCTGAACCTTTGTGGCGTTTCGTAAAAGGGGACTGAGCTCCCGAGGCAAAGACTCCTCGTCGGTATACGTGAACATCAAAACAAGGGGTATTTTGGCTTGGACGATGTGATGTATGAGCTCGGCACTTTCGGTGTCGGCATTTTGGACATCTTCCAGACTCCAAGTGCAGAGCTTGTGCATTGCAAGGAGTCGTAGAACGTCGATGAAGACATTCATAAACCGGGTCGATTTCGAAGCGCCTCCACTTCGTAGCCAGGCCTCTGCCGTGTGTCCAGCACTTCCACAATGAACAGCAGGAGAGGATGCACGGCGATCCTTGATAAAGTCCAGGTCCTTTTGCTGGGGGGTTTTGGGAGCATGGCTCGTGTTCAAGAGCCACTCGGGCAGATCAAGGTAACTTCTCAGCACCATCCAAACACCGCTATTTCTTAGGTAATGGCGTATTCGTTGATGGAATTCAGTAGTGACGTCCGCCTCTGAAAAGATTTGCCTAAAAAAAGAAGACATGAGTCTGAGGATGGGGTCGAACGGCGCCTTCTTGGCAGGATCAAATTTGGCCATTGCAAAGTAACCGGTACTTCGTGCTGTGCTTTGTATGCTCTGCACCAAACGAGACTTGCCCAATCCAGTGGCCCCGCCAATGGCTATTACCTACGTCGTAAATCAGTATGCACACACTTGGTTGAAAGGGTGAATAGCGTCTGAATCTGTATTGCACGTTAGAGAATTGACATACCTAACAAGAGTTAGCTTTGACCCAGGTGATGCATGATACCGTTTGTACTTGCCTCGCAGCGAGCCTTACGCCTCAGTTTCCGTGTACTTGCCAGAGTCCGCAAACCCTCATTGGATTCATGTGAGCGAGAAGGCATGAATGAGCTCTCGATGCTATTGTTAGATCGCCCTCTATGAGAGAGCTGCAGTTGGGGTCGGTTGTCCACGCTTCCCTCGGCTGTGGAGCTTTCTGAGTGTGGGAAGCCATCTTGCGAGCCTTGCTGTATTGATCGAGCCGCCTCCATAAAAACAGGTCCGTCTGCCGAGATGCTGTTCAGCCTGCTCTCAGACCCCCTCGAGCTGGTACTCTCTGAAACGAGATCATCAAACTGCAAGTCCAGTCGCTGGTCTGAATAGGACGAGCCTGAACTCATGCTGTGCAAGTTCTTGACGCCATTTCGGCGGTGTTTCGCCACTCGCTCGAGTACATCAACGATTGTCTTTCGCTCTCTTTCGCGCCCAATCAACTTCAATGGGAGATTGAAAAAGCAGCTAATGTCCTTTGAGCCGACCTGGAATGCCTTTAATCCCTCCACGTCGCCTTCACAGAGCAACTCGCGTACGCGGGCGAGGTCGTACTTGAGTCCCGAGGTGGAGTGATACCTGTCTTCGATGTTGCGTTGTGTCATTCGCTGGATGACTTCAGAGAGGGCCTCTGGGATGTCAAGACGTCTTGAAGAAACAGGGGGGATTCGTTTGCTGATGACATTTTGCATAACGTCGAGTGCGGTATTGCCGTCAAAGGGAGTGTATCCGCATAGCATTGTGTAGAAGAGGATGCCAAGGCTGTAAATGTCGGTCCGCGTATCCGGCTCAGCGGGCATGCGACCTGTTTGTTCGGGAGATATGAAGGCCAGCTTTAGTTCAATTCCGGTTTCCTTGGACAAAGTACTCCAGCCGGCGCTTGTGAGCCCATTCTCAAATGAGCGGGCCCCACTGCCAAAGTTCTGCAGCAAGTCAGTGAGTGTTGTCCAAAGGGGGGGGGGGCGGGTTCGTGAAGTACTCACAATCATCTTCACGGCGCCCGACTCGGCAAAGTGGAAGGCATCGCCACGGATTTCCCCGTGCACAATCTCATGGCCATGGTGCAAGATTTCCAGACACTCGACCGACCCAACGGCGAAGTCGAGGAAGGTGAGGAGAGGCACGCCCTGGCTCGAGGGGAATGCATCGGGCCGCACTGTATCGATGCTGTTGGCACTGCTGGGGTTGGTGCGGAAGTTGTACCAGTTTGGCCCAAAATTGACCAGATCGCGGAGGAAGTTTGGGCCGGGGGCCTCGAAGACGCTGGCGACCAACTGGCTCTCGCCAGGCTTTGCGGGCAGGCGAACAAATTCAATTGGACGGACAAAGTGTTTGCACTCGGGATCCGACTCTTTGACGACGAGCTTGGAGAGGTGGAACTCGCGCTCTAGGCGCAAGGCTTGTGGCGACACGCGGCAGACGACGGGGCGGCCGTCGCGAGCCAGCGCTCTGGCGGTGGTGTTTGTGAGGTGTGTTTGCACCGTCGAGGCGCTCGCCTCTGAGCCGGAGCTGCGGTGGCTGCGGTGGAAGGGCGGGCGCGTCGAGTCGGGCGAATGCGATGCGGTTGGCGAGGTGATGCCGCTCCTTCCCCGCGAGATGGGTCGCTCGTGCCTCGAGGGCGACTTTTCGTAGCCGAAGAAATGCCAGTTGTCGTACGACTGCCCGTGGTTAGCGCTCTCGATGCGACCGACGAGATGGGGAGGCCGGCACCCACAGAATGGAAGGGCTCGATCTCCGGGTCCCAGACGTAATTGGGCAGCTCCTGCAGCCGCACAAGAATATGGGCAAAGCGCGCAGCCCGCCCGGACTCGCCGTCTGGCGGCATCGTGTGCTGGTGATGGTCGCGCCCTCTGCGGGTCTAAGGCATGCTCTGCGATGCTTGTCGGGGTGGGATGTGTGGGCAGGGTGGAGCGGAGGCTGTGGGCAGATGGGGCGATGCTTTCACAGGCGGGCGATGGGCGCGACTGCCATGGCGAGGGCGCAATCGAGGAGCGGGTCGGGGGGGGAGGGAGGGAGGGGGACTGGGGGGACTGGGGGGACTGGGGCGAGCGAGGGGTGGTGGTGCTCTTGTCGTCGGCGGGCGCCTGTATGGGAGAGAGTCGCCAGACAGGTGGAGTGCTTACTGATGGTATTTCAGCCACACCACATGGGCATGGGCAGAAGCGTGGGCAGAAGCGTGGGCTTGGGCGCGGTCCGCAACAGCAACCTTGCGCCTTGCCCCCCCGTCCGCTGGTTCGCTGCTGGGCGGATGGAGGACGTCATAGTCGACGCCCGCCCGGGCGCTGCACTGGCTGACTTTTGCCTGCAGCACACAGCACGCAGCGCAGCAGCGCAGCAGCACCACCACCACCACCGACGCAGCGCAGCCAGCTCCACCGCCACAGCAGCAGCAACAGCAGCAGCAGCAGCAGCGCAGCCGCGCGCCGGATGCATTCTGCCTGGCCTTCTCCAGACTCGCCCACACCCGTCGCCCGTCCGTCTGGTGGCGGCCGCTTGCGACTGGCGTAAGCACCCCCGCGGTGCATGGTGCGACCTGATGCGGCCTAGCGCGGCCGATCGCTCTGGCGCGTCACCCGTTGGATAGTGGCTTCATCGCCGACGACAACTGTTAGAGCCGCTGTGCAGACACGCAGCCTCAACACCGCCGCCATTGGCTCCGCCCCGCCCTCGACGACGTCTGGCTGCGACTCTCGCGCCTGTCCACGGCACATACCCCGCCAGCTCGCCGCCCGCCGCCCGCCTCTCGCCCTGCTCCTGCTCCTGCTCCTGCATCTGCCCCACTACGCCCTGGGTGGCCGGGATATCGCCCTAGACTGTCCACACACATGCATCTCGCGCCGCAATAGCTGCCCTTGACGAGCGCCCACCACCCTGTCCGGCCTCGACCGAATTCAATGTCACACCATGGACGCTGCGGACCACGAGCATGCCTACACAGGCGACCTGGGCGAGCCCCAGAAGCCACGCCAACTCCCCTCGGACCTGCCCACCTCGCTCAATGACAGGCGGCCTGTCACCATCATGAGCGAAGAAACAGAGATATATGACGCATGGCAAGGTGAGCGCTGGCGAGCATGGCCGGAGCGCTACGCAAAAGGGGCTACTGACACCACACAGGCCAGTCGCAATTCCTCACCACGCCCATGCCGGCCCGCCCGCTCAGTTTCAACCTTTCGCTGGACGACCCGACCTTTGGCGATGAGGACATGCAGCAGCTCGAGGACAGCGACAGCCGCCTGGTCCAGATGCTCGCTCACCAGGCGCGCCTCAAAAACGACAACGCCGGCGACGAGGCCAAAGTGGTCGCCGACGACAAACTATCGCATGAGGAGAAGAGAGAGGCTCTGCAAGGCCTCTTTACTCTAGCTGCCTCCAACGGCGAGCTCGAGAGGGTAAAGCGGCTACTGGACGGCAAAGCTCGCGAGTACATCAACATCGACGCGGTTGACGCCGAGGGCACCCCCCCACTGGTTTATGCCAGCTGCTTTGGCCACGATGATGTTGCCACAACGCTGCTTGAGCAAGGCGCTACTGTTGATATCCAAGACAAGAATCGCTGGACGCCCCTCATGTGGGCCATGACAAATCGACACAAGGACATTGTCAAGCTTCTGCTAGACCATGGAGCATCGACCGACGTCAAGTCTTCGGGAGGGAGGACCGCTTTTGATTTTGTCGAGCCCAACACGGAGCTGTCCGAGTACCTACACGAGAGCGGGTATGTCATTGGGAACGTAGGCGTGGGCGATGACTTTTACAACTCTGGCTTCTCGCAAGACCGCTTTGAGCAGGAAATGCAGGAAAACGACATGAAGCGCCGCATGATGATGGAGAGCGCCTTCAACCTGGAAGTGGATATTGGAAATCTCGGCCTGGACGAGCAACCAGAGGTACAGAGTAAAAACTGCTTCGTGTGAATGCACCGCTGATGACTGTAGTCCCCCGGAGAGCCAGAAGAAGAAGCCCAAGAGTTCGTATGGGACAGGTGTCTCAACGACCAAATGTTTGTCTTCCAGGAAAACGAGCTCGAGCGCATCCTCGACATCATCATCACCAACATGACGCCGCAACGCTCTCCTTCGCAGAAACCCGTACCCGCAAACATATTATTCCTCAGTGCCCGATATGCACATTACCATGCCAACCCAGAGCTGCTCGAGACACTGTTGGTATCTGCCATGAACAAGATCAATGAGGTGGTTGAGAAGCACCAGTGGGACATGACGGTGCTGGCCTTTTGGATGTCGAATGCCACATTGCTCCTGCATTATCTCAAAAAAGATCATGGGCTGGTGGGATCGACCAACGATTTTCAGCTGCAAATGGCCGAGCTGATCAACGAAATCTTCATCTTGATTATTCGTGATGCCGAGCGGAGAATGGACAAGAATCTAGACCAAGCGATGCTTGATCATGAGCCGATGCCTGGCTTCGAGGACGTACATTTCCAGAACGAGTGGAAAATATTTCGTTCGAAGCCAAAGGCGAAGCCGATAGAGCCAATCGAAAAACGCTTCCGACCACCGTCGCCAAAACGCCGAGCACAGCCTTCACCGCGAAACATCACGTCCCTCCTCTCGTCTACTTTGTTCGTCCTTGACCTCTACGACGTGCACTCGGTCATTACCGCCCAGGTACTGTCGCAGCTGATATACTGGATTTCTGCCGAAGTATTCAACCGTATCATGTCGAATCGAAAGTACCTTGCCCGCACAAAGGCTATGCAAATACGCATGAATGTCTCCACACTGGAAGACTGGGCGCGATCAAACAACCGGCAGCCAGAACACTACGAGAACGGCTCCATGACGTCCACGGGGGAGAATACTGCTGATGCTGCAAAACGGCACCTGGAGCCCTTGATACAATTACTCCAATGGCTGCAATGCTTTTCGTCACTGGGCGAGGATCTAGAGTCGCTTGTAGGAACGCTGCAACAACTGACGCGCCTGTCACCCCAACAGCTATTACATACTGCCAAATACTATCGAGCAGAAGTTGGCGAGAAAGGCCTTCCCAAAAGCGCATCAAAATACATTATCCATCTGCAGAAAGCTGCAGCCGACCGCAAAGCTGCAAAAACAAAATCACCGAATCCTGCACAAGGGCCAGACTCGACACCAACCACACCGATCAAAGCGACCCCAGACAGGCCATTCGATAAATCCCCAGCGCCCTCGCGGATGTCTGAAGAGGAGGAAAAGGACGAGCCTCCAGATGAGCTTCTTCTAGACCCCTCGTACATGCTGCCATTCTCACTACCAACATCCACAGATATGCTCATCAGCTATGGGGCTGGATTTGGAGGTGTCAACAAGGAAAGGGAACGAAAGTACATTCCTACTGTTCCCCCGGAATTCATGGCCAAGCTAGACTTGTCGGGCGGAACCATCAAGAACGGCAGCTCGTATTATTCCGAGTCGCAATGGAATGATCCAAGCTACGGGTGAAGATGAAGACAGTTGGTAGAGCTGCTGATCCTTGCTAACCACATAATGGGCTAGCCAGTTTCATTCTGCCTGGCTGAATCGAAGACCAAATTCCTTCAAGCTACGTCGCGCCTAGCATCCAGTACGATGAGCATCGCATTCATGACAATCACTTGTCTCCCAAGGAATGTCACAAGCGACTAGTCCGACGATAGACGAAGCATATACCTGTCACCAGAGGTTGGTTCAGCGAAAAGTCGCTTGCCTGTTGTGTTGTAGACCTGTGGACGCTGGTTAAGCCGACTGCGTACTAATTGAGTGGAAGAAGTGGGAATTGAAGAGGACCACCGATTGGATATCACCGTAGCACCAAGACACTGATAGATTTCTTTTAAAAAAACCTGGCTAATACTATTTGAATTGACAGCGAAAATATCGACACGACACTCGCATCACCTGCCTCTGTCGATTAACTTTGTCTCCTTTGAGCTATTGTGCAATGCCGCTATCGACTGTTCCCGTGGGGTAGATGCATTGCTAATGATTTGCTGTTCAACAGGGTTATGCAGTTGACGTGAACTACAGCGGCGATTGGTCTGGGAGCAATATATTACTCGATGAAAAATAGTGATTTGGGCTATCTGTTTGACTCCGCCATCGGCCCTTGAATATCCTTGGCCAAGAGAGTTTATCGGCGAGCCCCGATAAGTAGTAAGCGTTGCTCCTAAGGGTCTAAGCTACCCCACCACCCCGCTATACCGCCGTAACTTCCTCATACATCATTTTTAACAACGTTCAGTTTCTCAGTTCCTTTTTTCTACACTCCCTAAATCGCAGTTTCTCATTCAATTGCAGGGTTTTTCAAATACTTCAACATTTGCACCATGGCCCGCTTCATTCCAAGTGACGAAATTGACGCAACATTCAAGTCCAAGTACACAGGTATAGACAAATCCAGGCACTGTCTCCTTTGGGTCCGCTGACAATCTCCAGACTTGATATCCGCACCTCTGGGTTCAAAAGTACTATCCTGTAGTGATGAGTGGTTCGCTGCTGCGGAAAACCTGATTACCCCCACTCCACCCATCCGTAAAATCGGTGTGTTTACACACGCCGGGGCCTGGTACGATGGATGGGAGACGCGCCGCCACAACACCGAGCCTGCAGACTGGGTTGTCTTGAGGCTGGGAACTGCGAGCGGAAAAGTGGCCGGTGTTGAGATTGACACTGCCTTTTTCAACGGCAACCATGCTCCAGAAATCGTCGTCGAAGGCGCTTTCATCAGCAACGAGAAAGATGAAGAGGAGGTGAAGAAGCCGAGTTTTACAGGCTGGGAGACGATACTATCCAAGCAGGAATGTGGGCCCAGTCAGCGACATGGTTGGATGCTGCCCAACATCACTGACAAAGCCTACACGCATGTCAGATTGCTCATGTACCCCGACGGTGGTATTGCGCGTTTCCGTCTCTACGGTGTCGCTGTTCCCGTCTTCCCAGAGTCTGCAGATGCAGTGATTGAACTCTCTGCCACTGTCATGGGTGGTGTTGCAACATCTTGCTCCGACCAGCACTTTGGCACAAAAGACAACCTCCTCCTACCTGGTCGCGGAAAAGACATGGGCGATGGTTGGGAGACAAAGCGCACTCGCGGTGAGCATGTCGACTGGACAATTGTCCGACTTGGAGCAAAGGGCGAGATTGATCGTATTGTCGTCGACACTGCACACTTTAGGGGCAACTTCCCACAAAAAGTGCAGGTCTTTGCGGGTGCTTTTGACAAAGACCCGAGTCATGACGATGCAGGGTGGGTCGAGGTACTCGAACCGCAGAAATCAGGTCCAGACACAGAACACGTGTACAAGGCTGAGTTGAAGGAAGTATCAGGCAAAGGGTACACGCATGCAAAGCTGGTCATTATTCCTGATGGTGGAGTAAAGAGGTTTAGGGTCTTTGGAAAGCGAGTCTAGATCTGCAGATGATTAATACACATTACACCTCCACAAATCAGTCCACGGATTAGGTTGAGAATATTTGCAGGGATGTATTGAGCGATCACAATGCCTTTCCGGCATTACTTGCCTACATCCTTCACTTCCGCGGAGCCTACCCGTGAGGGCGAACAAGGTAACCTATACGCTACAGCCACTAGTTTTCAGACCTACCTAGCAAAATATTAAGGCATTAGTCAAGGGTACAGGGGTTTCCCCTCGTTCAATAGGATTATATATGAAAAGCTTCGAGACCCGAGGAATTACTCGTCTTCGTCTAGCGTCTTGGTAAGGCGTGCTGAGTGGTGGGGAACCCTACCTCCCCATCATTTATCTCACCTCATCTCCACGCGGCACATCATTCACCTCGTCCACGTTTTCTTCCATCCATTATCTTGCTCCGAGTCGTACACATCCCTCTTGAATTGAATCTCACTGAATATGCAAGGAGAATACAAGGCTTCCATTGCCAACGTACCGCCGATATGGCTGCTGGCCACGGCAGCTTGTATTGTCCCGGTTGCGCTTGTGTGCTATTCCCAAGGCTTACTCAGTTCGAAGCCAGGAAACGCGGCCGTTGTTAAGGAGAAAGATGTACCTGAATTGGAAATAGCAGAGGTATGTATTTCATCTTCTTTGATGCTGTACTCTTTGAAGATGGAGAGAATGTATCATCGTTATTACGAATGCTGATAGAAAGCCAGATCTACGTGTATCCCATTAAATCGGTGCGATCGATAAAATCTATGTCTGCTATTGCAACGTCCCATGGCTTTGCACATGACCGTAATATCCCCCCGTCTCTCTATCCCACACACATTTGCAGGATAACGCAACACTAGTTAACACATCAACACAGGCTCCTTCATGCTCCTCATCAAAACGCCCTCAGGCTACAAAAACATGGCCGTAGCCGAATGCCCACAGATGACGCAATTCGTGCAGGAGATATCATCAGCCGAGAAGTCATCAGACAGTGCCCAAAGCAGCGGTAACAAAAACAAAGACAATGCAGTCATCACAGTCCACTATCTCGCGTGCGGCGACACCTCGCGCCAATCCAGCATCGCCATCCCCCTGGAACCCGACACTGCAGACCTGAAAACGGTATCCGTAAACATGCACGGCAGCGCGACACCAGCATTCCTCATGCCGCAACGCTACAGCGACTGGTTCACTTTCTGTCTAGGCTTCGACGTGGACCTCGTCTATCTGGGTCCAAACCGACGCTCCCCTCTCTTCAGCGAAATGTCCAATTCCTCTTCATCATCGAAGCTCCTACCCAAACTCTGGAACCGCACTAGTACCACGACCAGTACTTCACTAGGCCAGAACAAACTCACCTTTGCAGACTGCGCCCCCTACCTCTTCTGCACCGCCGCCTCCCTCGCCGACGTCTCGCGCCGCCTGCGCGACCCAAACACGCCCGAAAAACCAATGGATATAACAAAGTTCCGGCCAAACGTTGTCTTGAAATCCAGTTCCCATAGCCATGCACAAGACGAAGACCACCAAGACCAGCCCTGGCAAGAAGACTACTGGGGCACCATCCAGGTCAACGGTAAAACAAACGTGGTGTTTGTGCACAACTGCGTACGATGCAAGAGTATCAATATCGATTTCGAGACGGGCAAGCCGGGCCAGGGTCCCCATGGCGAGGTGCTCAAGCGCATGCAGCGCGACCGTAGGATCGATACGGGAGCGAGGTGGAGCCCCGTGTTTGGTAGGTATGCGTTTTGGGATGCGGCGCATGGAGACGAGGAAGAGGTGCTGTGGAGCGTTGGGGATAAGGTCAGGGTTACCAGGGTAAATGGGGAGAGGAGTGTTTGGAGTAAGTCTATTCTTTTTCTTTCCATGTGTACTGGTCAGAAAAAGACGTGTTTTGACTAACTCTTCTGCTTCCATCACAGGTTGGCCTGGCCTCGGGTAGCGGAGCGAGCGGGTTTACTGCCCGGCATGACACGCACGACACATGAGGATGCATCATCATCAACATCGTTATCTTGGCGAAAGGAAAGGGGAAGAAGAGCAACTTTAAGACAGCGACTGCGAAATTGCAAATGTCGATAGCAATCAAGTTTTTTGTTGTTTTCATTGCATTGCATTGGTTGCTATCAAGTTTTTTGTTGTTTTCATTGCATTGCATTGGTTGCTATCAAGCATGGTATTGTTGCAACATGAACAAAGTAACCACAAGCCAGAAAAAAAATGTTTATAGCTTGTTTCTGACCATGGAGAATCTCCTGTCCTGGGACTCTCAAAAAAACAAAAAAAACGCCGTACTCTTTGTTGGAACTAATTTAAAAAAACCTCCTTTTCTAAAAAGATGGAAATATTCCCGTTCAAAAAAAAGACAAGTCCAGGTCGTGGCTAGCCTTTCGCATCCTCTTGGTAATGCGTAATTTGGGGTTTCTAATGGCCTGCCTGATACATCACCCTCGTTTCTAAATGACGCCTTTGTGTATAAAAAGAAAACAAAAAACGCCGCGGCGATGTCGAAGTTAATACAAAGCTCATACACGTATCTTTTTTTGGTGTAATGAAATTCGTAACCTATTACATGGTGTGGGAAGGTGCTAGGAATTTTACCAGGTTTCCTGAATAAACGTTAGTGCTTGTGGAGTCGACGTCACTGGAGTCTAAACTTACAGCAATGTATTGGCCGTCTTCCTTCTTCTTGGCCCAAAACTCCTTAGCCTGTGATTCACTCAAGCCTCCCTTTTGCATTGCGACGTCGATCAAGGATGCTTCGACGCCCTCGCCCATGCCCTTGCTAGAACCACAGACAAAGATGCGTCCGTCCAGAGCGTTGATGACGAACCAGACAATGTCGGCTTGCACTCTGACCTCGTCTTGTACGTATTTGACTTCGTTGTTGCCTCCAGCCTTGACCTTGCGGCTCTGGACAACCTTTTTGATTTCCCGTTCGTGGTCTCCCAGTTCGCCAGAGTATAGCTCGTCAAGCATCGAGTCTCGGACGCCCTGGATGAGCCAGATCTTGTTGGCGCAGTTGGCGTTCTTGAGCCTGTTTAGGATAAAGCCGCGGAAGGGCGCCATGCCGACACCAGCGCCGATGAGGACCATAGGGCCTTCTCCGCCAAATTGCTTGGAAAGCGGGTTTGCCATGAGGCCACGGAACATGGGGACGCGGAGATCCAGAATGCTGCGGGGGTCGACACCTTCATTCTCGGCCGTGATGAAGGCATGGGCCATGCGCTCCATGAAGCCACTGCCAACACCAGTGCGTGAAGCGTGTGGGGCGTGCCAATCGGGTGTTTCGTGAACGGTGACGGCCATTTCAATGAGCCGACGGGTGCCTGGAAGGCCGGGGCGAGCCGAAGAGATGTGGGGGTCATTGGAGAGCGAGTAGAATCGAGGCATTAACTGGGTGAGGACGGAAAGAAGGTGAGGTAGCGGCGGCTTTGCCGAGGGGAATGCGCTGAGGATCTGTGCAACAGTAAAGTGAGATGAAGTGCGCAGGTCGCAGAAGGCGGCCTGTCCTTGGGCCGAGCAGAGGTAGGTCAAGATCTTCTTCTCATTTGGTGCCTCGGCATACTCGGCCAGGATGCGGAGAAGGTTCTTGGTCGGGGGGTTTGACTGGATATCTGTGCACCATGTCAGCAGCTCGCGGCGAGTTGTGATAAGCTCGCGCGGCTGGTCTTCTCCCCAGATGGTCGGCCACCTCCCCGAGAAGGTCTTGAGTGTGACTGGCTTGTCGCGGACAAATCTGGGGATGCACAGAATGTCGAACAGCTCGTCGACCATTTCCTGCGAGTTGGGCGGGCAAATGCCGACAGCACCGCCAACCTTGAAGTCGACGCCTCCCTCATCTGGATAGTCGGTGACGTCAATGTCAAAGTGAATTGTGCGCTTCTCGGCGCCCGGCTTGGTCAATTCGCGGGCGTGGTAGAGAGGCGCCGAGTAGACTTCGTAGGGCGGGTGGGGCTGGACGTATTTGGGAGGCATCTTTTGCACCTCGGACACGTGCTTGGTGTCCTTGGAAGGCAGGGACTCGAATGACATGTTGACGGGCGGGAGCGGGGTCGTGTCTGTGAGCTCGCTGTCCATGGCGAGGGGGCCCAGTTTGAGATTGAGGGTGCGGAAGGCATGGCTGTCGGGAATGACGACGGGCACGAAGTTGGGCGAGGCGGAATCAGGAGCCAGTGTCTTGAGCAGGCAGCAGCCTCCGCCGCAGCATTGGCTGATGAGCTTGGTGGCCGTCTCTCCCTCGCCCAGTATGCGTCTGATGTCGTTTGGGCTGTCGGAAATCAGCGTCGTGGATGCTCGGCGAGGGCGCGGCTGCTCGGCGAGGGTGACGGCAGCGGCGGGTAGGTCATGCAGTTTGTCGACGACCTCATCGACGGCGTGGTCGGGCTCGGTGATTGGCGTCATGGGCGCCTCGGAGTCATCGCTGCTGGTGGCCCAGGGTGCGGCTTCGCTCGACGACTTGGGCGAGAGGTGCTCGGGCTGCGACGACGACGAGGGGCGCAGAGACAGGTGGGGAATGGCTTTGGGCTCCTGGGGAATGGGGTCGTGGGGATGCGAGGTGGCTGTGGTGGGTATCGAGGTGGTCATGGTGGGAGTCGAGGAAGCCATGTGGCGGCGGGGTGGAGGAGGAAGACGAGATAGCGGCGGCGGCGAGGGTATTGAAGACGCGGCCAGGAGAACAGCTAGCGCGAACCGTGGTTAGCAACATGTTAGTCATTGCGGGCGTGCGGTGCGAAATCAGACAAGCAGATGCAGCGGGCGAGGGCGAGGGCGCGGGTGCGGGCGCTCATGTTCCGCGTGGCTTGCTAAGCTGCGCGACCATGACATGCACAATGCGCGGGGTGGTGGTGATGGTGGTGGTGGGTTATCTGATGCTTTTTTTTGCAGTGCGCCGTTATCAGATGGTGGCTTCGACGGCACGTACCTGGGCTGGCGGACAGGCGAGCCCGAGTGGTTGTTGCCAGCAAGGGCAATGCGATCGAGGGCAGCGGAGGGTGAAGTCTAGCAGAGGCCGCAAGCATGCGCATGAGAGAGAGGGAGAGAGAGGGAGTGAGTAGAAGAATGGTGGTGACGATCCATGTCCAGCTCCTCTCCCCGTCTCTCCCTCTCGCCCTCTCTCTCCCGCGCCCGACCGCCTTTGCTAATACTACGACTGACTGCCGATCAACCACGCCGCCTCCGAGGGCTGACATGACCACACCACACCGCACCACCACCACCGCCCACACGCCCACCTGTCCCGAAGCACGCTTGGCTGCCCGCCTCCGACGCCGGGACTGCTCTTATCCAACCCCCTGGTCCTGCAAAAAAATACTCTACTGTCGGTATATTTCTGTTCGACGTATTTCACGGACGACCGGCAGCATACACGCGCCATCACGCGGCTCACAGCATGTGATGGCTGCCCCTATTGTTCATCCTTCACTATCATCGCGCGCCGTGCAAGGGCGCCATGATATACTTGGACTGCTATCGGATGCAGCCGGTCTTCGGTATCTCGGCGCGGCCGCATCTGATAACCATACACGGCCTCGGCCCTGGGCCCCGCCAGAGCCCCGTCATCGCATCGACCGTATACCACGCTGAGACCCGTCGCTTGCAATGCACAATCCCGCTTCTGGAATCTTCGTACTTTCAGCTTGCCCATTGGGCCTCTCATTACGTCGTTGGGGCGCCACCCTTTGCCGTCAACTTGACCTCATCACGCCATGGCTGGACCTAGAAACTCCGACCTGTGCATGTGCATATGCCTCGCACCCCGTCTTGTCCGGACGGCCATGGCGGCCTCTGGAACAAGACCCGTCTGCCCCCCATACACGAATCACGCGTGAACAAGTGCAGGGTCGGGCCCTGCCATGGTTCGTCCTCCGTCAAAGTGCAACGACGTTGAAACCGCCTGCTAGCGGCCCCACAAGCGACAGCATCAGATTGCCTTGCTCACCACTCATCCACCCTGGCTGCCCAGCTTTCTCGCTTCGCCACTCGAATGTGGAGGCCATGGGTCATGACAGCCTCCTCCATGACGTTATCTGACCCCTCTCTTTTCTTCACTTACTCATGTCCGTCTTGCTTGTATTCCTGACAGCAGCGAGGAATCCATCTCGAGACTTGAGTACCAATTACAGCTAACCTTGATCCCAGCCACAATACTCGCTCATATCAAAGACCTTATGCATGGTATTCAATACATTGACAGTGACAGCACATCAAGACAGGTCTCAACCCTACACAATACGTATTCGTTTCGCACACTCGTCTCACATGCCAGCTCTCACCTAATACTTCCCACTCTCCTTCACCAACCCCCTCTTCTCATTCTCCGACTTTCCCCTCAATGCCCACTCGGGCGCCTCATCCACCCCCTCTTCCTCGGCCTTGTCCCCCTCCTCCTTGGTCTTATGCACGCTACTCGGCAAATGCTCAGCAGGCGAATACACGGTAACCAACTCCAGCGGCTGGTCCCCACGCGTCACAAACTGGTGCTGCGTCCCCGCCGGCACAACAACCACATCTCCGGCCTGCACCTCTTGCTCTTTGCCCGCCACTGTTGCAAGGCCCCGTCCAGACGTGAAAAGTAGGATTTGATCAACCAGGTGCACTTCATCGCCGATTTCTCCGTTTACAGGCACTTCCATGGCGACGATTTGACCTGTCAAAGTTGTGAGTAGAGAGTATGTTTAGACGAGTAGTAACGACTCAAATCCACCCATGTTTCAGACTGGACAAAATAAACCTCATCACATCTATAACAACTGATTAAGCCAGTCAAACATCCAGCCAAAAAATCCAAAAAAACACATCAGATCCACGACGATCCGAATATACTGACGAAATATGCCAGACACACAAAATAATGCCCCTCTCATCGGATGACACAGCTCAGAAAAAAAAGACGAGAACTTACTATACAACCCCGTATGCAGCACAGTCCGGAAATCCCCAAACCCGCGCTTCTCACTCATCAAGCCCGGAAAATGCACAATTTCGTGTTTCGGCGCCGCATCCTCCCTGTTCCCAGCTTTCTTGTACGCTTCCATTTTGCGAGTTGCTGGCTTACTCACAGCACTACTACTACTGCTGGTGCTTTGAAAACCACGGCGGCTATGCAATTGGATAGCAGCAACAGCAGGTCTAGAAAGAGTGATAACAGTAGTTCGAGGCGTAAAGCGTAGAGTCCGGCAGACAGAAGAGATGGAAGAGGATGTAAACATGAAGACGCGCGTGGTTTTAGCAAGAGTGAGAGTAGTAGGAGCGTGGGGGAAAACAGAGAATTATATATATGTGCTTAGATATGAGATGGACAGCGAAGTTTAATACTCGTACGTCAAATACATATGCATACATACATACATGGCCTAGACTCATCCATACAACATAATAACCACCTGACGTCACCATGGCGATTACTCTACACGGACACCACACTAATCACCACCACCACCACCACGGCCCCCCTTCTGTGTTTTTTTCCCGCGCTCTAGATCCTGATGTTCATTGGAGCGGCACACACTCTTCTCCTGCGCATCAGACCAAACAGAATGAGCGCAGCACGGAGGGGAATAAAGAAAAGTGGTGTGAGCACGAGGCACCCCGATTACGTGATGCTAGATGCTAGCAGCTTGCTGCGTGCATGCACGTGTCAGAGCTGCAGGGTGAGAATACTAATGCTAAGTAAGCCTTCTTTTTTTTCCCCTATTTCTTGGTGTGGATGCATGACTGAGGTAAACAAGAAACTGAGCGGAGAAGGAGTTTGGAATTACTACATACATACATACATACATACATACATACATACATACATACATACATACATACATATACTAACAGCTTCGCAGACGCACAATCAGAATCACAACCAGATACTGTAAGTAATGGTCTGGCTGAGAAGAAAGAGTGGCCATGTAAAATCAAAACCACACTCTACGATGCGACAAGGCAACTCCCACTTACTCTTTCGGCTTCGTAGACATTCATGTGCAATGTACATTTCTGCATGAAAAAAAAGAGTCTCGCGAAGCAATGAGACTGCGTCGTTTTTCGATACCAAGGGGAGGGGAGGGGAGGGGGGGATTTCCAGCTCAGTTAACAAAGTAGGGCATGGCAAGTCCGTGACTACCTGTTTTCAATGATTTCCCCAGGCGGAGAGTCACTGGAACTTTGGTGTATGGAAAGAAACAAAGCTGAAGAAAAAAAAAGCCTCTCCCTCGTGGTAAATTTCTCTTTCTCATCCCCAGTACAAATCCGGGAACTTGGAGAAAAAGAAGAAGAAGGGGGAAAAAGCCCTCTACAAACGGCTACGAGCTGTTTCCTCGTCCTTATCCTCGTCCTTGTCCGACTCAAGGTCCTCCTCAATCTCCTCTTCTTCAGACGGCTTTGGGTTCTCGGGTTCCCGTGCGGGCACATCACCACCGCTCATTTGCCATTCCATTAGCTTGTTGAAAGCTCCATTCGGGTTTGAGCTAAGCTGCTCGTACGTTCCCTCTTCGGCCACCTTGCCATCGGAATCAATGCAGATGATGCGATCGGACCGCTTGATGGTAGATAGTCGGTGGGCAATGCTAATGGTTGTGTTGTTTTCTCGGAGAAGCTTGTTGAGCGCTTGGTTGACCAGCGTCTCGGACTCGGCATCCAGCGCACTTGTGGCTTCGTCAAGGATCAAGATGTCGGGCTGCTTGATCAAAGCCCGTGCAATGGCTATGCGCTGTTTCTGGCCTCCAGACAGTTGTGTACCGCGTGCACCGACATGTGTCTCCAGTCCATCGGGCTATGCTAGTCAGTAGAATATCAACACGTAAAGTGAGTAGACTTACGAAATCACTGATAAACTGGCAGTTGGCCTTTCGAGCAGCAGCAACAATCTCAGCGCGAGTGGCATGCGGGACACCATAGGCGATGTTCTCAGCAATGGTTCCAGAGAAAAGAACAGGCTCCTGCCCGACATAGCCAATCTTTCTCCTCAATTGCTTCGCATTCAAAGTAGTGATATCCCTTCCATCAATGGTAATGGTACCCGATGTGGGGACGTAGAAGCGCAAAAGCAGGCTGGCGACTGTAGACTTTCCAGCTCCGCTAGGCGCAACAATAGCCACATTGGTGCCTTGTTCAATCTTGAAGCTCAGGTCGCTGAAGATGGAGACTGCTGGCCGGGTGGGGTAGCTAAACGATACGTTCTTGAATTCAATCGGACCACGTGCCGACTTGACAGGCAGACCCTTTGTTGGCGAGATTGTTGGGTTGCGATCCTGAAGCTCGAACAGACGGCTAGCGGCACCGACGCCCTTCATCATTTCGCCGTAAAATCCAGACAGGCCAACCATACTTGAACCGGCGTACACTGTGTACATCAAGAAAGACGAGAGCTCACCAATCGAAATGACACCATTCTTGACCATATTACTGCCGACATAGAGGATAGAGATGATGGTCAGGTTGCCCATAAGGCCCGTACTTCCGTAAAAGGTTGCGGCAACCACAGCCTCCTTCTTTCCCAGAGCGAATATCCTCTTGATCTGACGGTTGTAGCGGGATGCTTCCTGGACCTCACCAGCAAATGCCTGGCTAGTTCTCACGTTGCCCAGTCTCTCCTCGGCAATCTTTGTTAGCGTACCCAGGTTCTTTTGAATTTTCCGACTGAGGTTCCGTAGAGATCTACCAGAGAAGAATGCAACAACCGCGACTGGCGGGGCAATCAGAGCAAGAATGCCGGTGAGTTTCAGGCTGACAAAACCCATCATTGCAAAACCAGCTGCGCCGCTGACGAGTGCACGCAGACCATCGGATAAGTTCTGTGTAATGCTCTTTCCAACGATGATGGTGTCTGAGGCCAGGCGGGAGATGAGATCTCCAACCCTGTTGGCGTCGAAGAACTCGGCATTCTGGATAAACGTCTTGCGGTAGAGCTGCGATCGCAGGCGGGCCACGATGCGCTCTCCGACAATTCGCAGGATGATGATACGACCAAAGTTGAATGCAGCGCCGGTAGTCAATACCCCTGCGAGAGCAAAGTAGAATATCGAGGGAGTCATGCCAAAGAGCAAGCCATCCGTATTCTCTGTCGAAGTGGCAGCGTCCAGGATTTTACCAATAGAAAAGGGTACAGATAGCGAGATGCCGGAACCAACGAGTAAGAATACGAATGCCCAGGAGAGGGTACCTAGTTCAGGCCGTGCAATGCTGATGAGTCTCCAGATTTCCTTCATGCCGCCCGGTGTGCCTCCAGAGCCAGAGCCATCCTTACTCAGCTTTGCGCTCAGATTGACGTGTTTGGCTTGGGCTGCCTTTTCCGACTGTACAAAGCCCCGCTCAACCTCTGCTTCACCATCATGCTCTTCGAGGTCCACAATGCCTTTTTCTTTGATTTCGTCCTTGTAAGACTTGCGCTGCTTGGTGGGTTTCTCGCCGGTCGATGCTTCGGATAAATGTCGCGACGCATTGAACGTTCGCATTGGTTGTCGGAGGCCATTGTGGCGTGTGGTGCCCGCGGTTGCAAATCGGAGTATGGAGGGGGCGAAGAGGCAGTTCGGATTCGGTAGTCTTTTGGCAATTGAGGAGGTTGGTATCGTCTTGGTAGCGATTGATCTCGAGAGTGCCGGCTTTGTCGCCGAGATGCGCGACTGTATTTGTGAAAAGAGGGCGCCGTTGCCTGGGCCGTGCCAGGCCTTTGCGGAGAAAGCCAGCGGGCCGCGCATGGCTTGAGATGGGTAGACGAGACGGCTACCGGGTTGCGAGGGCGGGTTGGGGCGTCGTCAAGGCATTCGTCATGGCGATGGGCGGGTGGGCGTGGGTGAGGACGACTTCGGACGTGGGAATCAAAAGTTCGGCGGCGCTGATGACGACAGGACCGGCGCGTCGATCTTGCGCCGACTGGTGCCGCGGCTGTGACAATGGCCCTGAGCAAAATGCCCCGAGCCCGTTTTACAATATGTCCAGCGCCCTATCTCCATTACAACATTGCTTCATGCTTGCACTTTGTCGTCTGCGTGCGATGCGCCTACTGCGTCATCCAAAGGTAGGCAGGCTGCAGCACATTGCTTCCCCGCGGACACCCGACGCTCGCTCTTCTTTTACTCCGATGCACGTACCTGGATAGGAGAATGCTGCAAAGACACAAACAATTATCGCTACTGCTATACCATCCATCGCAACTTGAAAAGACGAGCATTTAGCCAGTCAGCACAGCCACGGCTGTCGAAACTGAGAATGGCGATTGACTCATCTTCACTCATGCAAGCAATCAGGCCGCCACTCCCTATATAACACATCCGGTCAGTTTCCTTATCAAAGCCACTTCTTTGATATACTAATTGCATTTCTCTTTGCATATCTCACCATGGCATTGGTTCCTAGGTCCCTACCACCCATCCATCTCGAAGGAGCAACTCTTGAAGGCGGAGGCCAATTACTCCGAATAGCTCTGGGCCTTTCCGCTCTCAGCAAGAAACCAATCAGCATCAGCAACATCCGTGGATCGCGTTCAGGTGGTGGTGGCCTAAAGGCTCAACACTTGACCAGCGTACAATGGCTTGGCCAAGCCTCTAACGCGCACGTCACTGGTGCCGAGCTGAAGAGCAGGGACATTACCTTTATCCCAAGCGCAAGCGAAGGACCCAAGAAGGCCCCTCAAACAGAAGACATACATATCAAACAGACCACTCCTGGCAGTGTTAATCTGGTTCTCCAAGCCATCTTGCCATATCTTCTCTTTTCCGACTCTCCCTCGCCGATACGCGTCAAGATTGTAGGCGGGACTAATGTATCCAATTCGCCGTCATGCGACTACATTACCCAAGTCCTGCTACCAACACTGGAGCTGATCGGCATACCACGCATTAGTACGCAACTGCACTCGCGAGGCTGGTCGACCGGTACCACGAATCTCGGAAGCGTTACCTACATTATCACCCCGCTGAGAAGCAGCCTACCATGCTTCCAACTGACAAACAGGGGCGAGATAGCCCGCATAAAAGCAACCATCCTTGCCCCCAGAGATACCGAGCAACAGTTCCGCGAGGAGCTAGATGTCATGTTTGAGCGTCGACTATCTCGCTTTGCAGGCAACTCTGGAAGCGAGCCTGAAATAAATGTTACCTTTGAGGATTCGCACCACGACAAGAGATACTACCTCCTCTTGGTAGCCACCACGTCTACGGGCATAAATCTCGGTCGTGATTGGCTGTACGATCGTGCTGTGCGGCCTGGCAAACTCGACCACATTGTCCCTACTATTGTCAAAACCGTCTCTGATAACCTACTAACTGAGCTGGAACATGGCGGCTGTGTGGATGAGTATCTGCGGGACCAGCTGGTCATTTATCAGGCGCTCGCGCAAGGACGAAGTAACGTGTATGGCGGAAAGAAGGCAGATGTCTTTGTAGGCCCAAGTCTCCACGCGCAAACCGCGCAATGGGTGGCCAAGCAGATACTTAGCGTCGAGTTTGATGAGCAAGGTGCATGTGAGGGCATTGGGTATGACCCTCGTAGCAAGGTGAAAGGTGAAGAGTTGGTCCAGGGAATGGAGAAACTTGACATCGCAAGCACGTAAGGCTTGTTCCGCCGTTCGCTGGATCTGCGTTTGACTCTCACACTGCATTGCAAACACATCAAATTCAGAATCCGATCGTCGTATATTTTCCAGTCATCCTCCTTATTTTTCAGAACCCAGCCAGACTCTACAATGCATATCTAAAATGCTTCGCCTGGGTATCTGTCAAATCGCTAAATCCATCTCTAATCGCCTGTTCATCCTCGCCCGCTCCCCACAGTCGGTCCCTCCTCTTGTTCTCCCAGGTCATATACACCCACAACACGCCTGCTATCACCACCATGGCGCAGTAACACACAATGAGTCCGGTGAGCGCAGAAAAGTATCTTGGCGCCTCCCTAGCAACGAAGATGTTTGCGCCTGCAATGTTTCCCGCAGCGTAAAAGACAAACCAGATTCCATTGGCGGTACTGCGCTTCGTGTGGCCCGCAATGTTTGTCGTGAGCAGGTTCCACGAGAGAATGACAGGCGCACCGATAATGTACTGCAGCCACGTGCACCCCACGAGGCTCCAGCGCTGAGACAGTGGTGTAAGACGGATACCGAGGAGGCCAGCGAGCGGCGGCAGACAAATGATAGCGAGGATGAGACAGCGCGTGTTCTTGAAGTATCCAGCTGCAAGACCGCAAAGAGGGACGACGACAAACTCAATAGCGCCCGTGGGGAGTTGGAGGAGCGTAGCGTAGATGCCGCTGAAACCGAAGCCACGGAGCAGCGAAGAAGAAAAGTTGGATACACCGCCGTTGATGACACCGCAGCACAGCCCGATTAGGGCAATGCAGAGGACCTTGAAGTCGATCAGCGCCTCGAGCGCCTGGTATTTTTGGAATTGCTTGGTTTTTACGCCGATCATGTTGCTGGCGATGCGGTCAATGGCGACGATGCGCTGTTTGTGCGTGAGGAACTTTGCCGACGACGGGCTGTCCGGCATGACCCAGAGGAAGACCCAGGACCAGACAAAGTTCAGGAGCCCAATCACGAGGAAGATGAGCTGCCACGTCTTGATGTGCGCCGAGTGTGCGCGGCCCAGGCCGTAGCCCAGCAGAGCACCCACCATGGTTGCTGCCCCGTTGAAAGCCAGGAAGATGCACATGCGCAGCGGCTGTTCCTCTCGTCGGTAAAACATGCTCACAATATTCATGATTGCCGGCGAGATGGACGCTTCAAACATGCCCAGTAAGAACCGGAGCGCAAGCATGCCCGCGTAGTTCTTGGCTGCGACATGGCAGCAGAGCAGTATGGACCAGAGAAGGATCATAGAGCCCGTGTACTTGGAAACCGGCAGCCGCTGAATAAGGTAGTTTGCAGGAAGTGCCCAGAAGAGGTATCCAAAGTTGAAAATTGCAGCTACCCAGCTGTAACGGCTCCCTTGGAGACCCAGATCCGGCGTCAAGGTGTAGGCATTTGCGTAGTTTAGACTGAGCTTGTCGAGAAATTGTATCATGTACGTTATGCAAATCTGTAATCACAATAAGCTTTATGAGGCTGTCGGTGATCCAAACAACGTACCATTGGCATAATCACCCAGTCGATTTTCCTCAGCACGACTTTCCGCTCCGCTTCCAACTCTTCTCTCGAGTATTGCTGAACTTCGAGGTATAGGTCTGCGCCGATGTCGCGCATCTGCTTCTCAGCAGCCATTTGCCCTTCATCAATACTCTTATCTCGCGCGGGCGAGATGTCATGTTCTTTTTCCCCCATCTTGCTTACTCGCGGCTTGTGGATGTATAACTAAAAGCATTGAATAAGGTCGGCGAGAACTCCAGACGAGGGGGATATGGACCGCTAACACGCTGCTTTTTCCAATGGTGACGTTTGAATTACCGTAGTAATCAGGAGGGTACTCGCACTTATATTGTCAATCACTAGCCCGCTCCCACCCTTGGCAACGCCTGCGATACTGGTTATCGTCGTATCTTGCCCAACTGCTCTTATCTCCGTGTTGAGTTTGGCCATGGCTCGCCTAGTCGTAGGATCATGCAGGCCGCAACAGTGATTGGTGCTGTCGATCTTTCGGCTTGTTAAATCGGGTAAACCTCCCGGGTACAGTTACCTTGCTCGGGGTAGCTTCAGATGCCTGCGATATTGTGTAGTTGCTTGCTCTAAAGAAATCTTGCTGTCTGTTGTACGTCAATTCGCACTTCGACCCGTGATGCAACTGGTTAATGTTGTGATAGTTGACTTTCCAATGCGGATATGTTTATATCATATTTGCTATTATTCAGATACTGCAGCCTTTTCTCTTACCACTGTTACAATTGGCAGCAGCGCGCAGAATGACAAACGGCCGTATTAGCTCTGAAAAAAAAACTATTTCCACAGGCCGTACGGTCCTGTTGTGAACTTCCAGAGCTTGACCGTACCATCTTCACTGCCCGTTGCATACAGCTTCCCGTCGGGCGAGAAGCTCGCTGACCAAATAGGGCCATGGTGTCCCTTGTTCGTCTCCAACTCCTTCTCCTCGTCAAAGTCCCACACTCTGACCCAAGTGTCGTTCTGGTTGCTACCACCAGTGACAAACTTCCGCTCTCCATTGTGCAGCGCTACGCTGGCAAGTTCATATGGTGTCTTGACGCTCTTGATGAGGGAGCCCGGCGATAGACTGTTGAAGAAGTAGGCGCTGTTTCCAGCAGCTACGCTCAAGATTCCATCCGAGGAAGTGTTATCCAACTCGCATGAACCCACTGTGCCTTCTACCGCATGCTCTCCAATTGTTGCCTCCTGTCGCAGGTCCCACCAACGGATCTTCTTGTCTTCGGCCGCCGTGACTATGATGTTGGGGTCGGACGTCCACACTATCGACTTGATGGTTCCGGTATGAACTCCGGCGCCAATCTCAAAGCTTGTCGCATCGCTGCGTGACAAGTCGTATATGCGCAGCTTCTTTTCCATGCCACCTGTCGCGAGAATCTGAGGGTGAGGCTGGTTGGGGAACGCGACCGCACGGACAATGTGGTTGTGGGCGAGGGTGTGCAGAGCTTCTCCAGTATGGGTATCCCAGACTTTCCTATAATTTGTTAGCGATTCAGCAACAAAAATTCTGGCGAGTGCCGTACGCAGAAAAATCAGCTGACGCTGTGGCTGCCAGCGAGGCGTTGGATGACAGTCTCGCCTGCCAGACTGCGCCCTTGTGGCCCAGAAAAGTGCCAATCCAGTCACCAGTTATACCATCGCGCAGCATGGGGTTGTTGTCTTTGCATGCCGATATAATGTAATATTGGTCTTCGTCTACAAGAGACGAGAAGTGGATGTGGGGTACGGGTCTCGAGTGACCATGGCAGGTAAGAGGCACGACCTTGGTGGTCTCGGGCATTGTGGATAGGCAAGGATCGAATGTGGCTTCTTTTCAGAACACGGGTTCAGCAAGGATCGAAGTCGATTGAAACGACACGGTAGATGTGCAACGCGCGAGGGCGGCGGATCGAGGGGTCTTGTTGCTGTCGCGGAAGTATTGGGCCAACGTAGGCCGAGTGGACGTAGCTCTTGCAATCGGAAAGACAAGAAAGAGAGTGGGGAATATGCAAAATAGTCGTCAATAGGTCGTAACGTCGTGAAAGTGGTGTCCTCGCGAAATCGCAACTTCATTCAAGAGTGATTCGAGGGGGGCAAGTTGAAACGAGCTTTGGTCAGGGTTGCTTAGCGGCGGAGATTGCCGTTAGTGGGGTGGCTTGCTCTGAGATCTGGGCCTTTACCTCAGGCGTTACCAATCACCCAGCCCCGACTCTTGATTAATCACAATGGAAGATGTTGTTTATGATTATATGTTGCATGGATATGATTGGGGCTTCCCATATGACTTCTGTGTAAATTTTGTGAGTTCATGTTTTTCTATTGCATGAAACTACCTTTGGACCCAGTACAAGAACAAGTAACTATTGGAAGTAGCCAAGAACGGCTTACTATTATGTATTCAATTATGGGAAACTCTGGTAGGGGAAGACGTTACTATATTACATTCACATAGGGCTAAAGAAGATAGAGCTCTACAGTTGTAACTTGGTAAGGATAAGGCCTATCCTTATGTGAACAAACTTCTACTGAAGCACTGCAATTTTTAGCTTCCTTTTTTTCTTCTCAAAATAAAGCCCTTTTATGATAGATTTTGATTTGATGATTTTGATGTTTTACAACAATGAGACTTGTTTAAGCTAGGCAAATTCAGAGAAGCTTCTTCGGCACCAAACTCTGGAAAAGTCCTTTCCCCTATCTTCCTTTTTACTTCCTACCGGCTTCGGCTCTCTCTATTTCCTACAGACTTCGAACCCCTTTCCACAATCTCGTTCCCAATCTCTACTGACAGGTGAATACACCTTGCGTCTGGCTAGGCAAGCATCTCAACCGGCAGCTATGGAATGGTGCGCTATAGACACATTCTCCTGTTTACTTTGTTAGCAACACAGAGTGTTTATCTAATATCGCCGAACAGAGGAATAGAGTCTTTTTATCAAGAGCCTCGCCGGAGTACTATGGTACAGAGCTTTCTCGTCGTAATAGGTAGAGACTTACTATCAGTGTAACAGGTTTGACCGTGACTAGGACACGGAGTCGGGTCGGCAGGTGCTGCGATAGCAAGGGTGCTGAAGAGCAGAGCCGTAATAATAGATTGAAACTGCATGTTGTCGGTAGTAGTGTCAGGTTGAATGTTACTGAAATAAGTTCGAGTCGTTGTGTCCTTCTGTAGAATGTAGAGTTCTTGATGGCCTGTACTCTATTGCAATTCAGAGGAACTTGGATTCTTTTATACCAAGCTGATCTCTTCTCTAAGCTTCACTGCCGTACATGGTGAGGCCTGACAAAACAGTTAATTACCTCACGATACAATAAGCCTTAGATGAGATGAGGCTAGCAAGGTCAGCCATGTATCCAGCCGTTACTCTGATGATTGTGGCGGCATTATCGCATTGAGTATACGAAAGATTCCACTGAGACATTACCAGGGGCAGTCAATCCATGCATACGATGCCTTTGGCTTTATCGCAGTATAGCTACTTTCAATCTAAGGCGACACTGCCTTCATAACTACTTCATTACCTTTATGCTACAAATGAATCCAACGTTTTAGTAACTGCTGCAACCGCTGTAGTCACAGCGGCAAGTGCCTAATGTCCTATTGCGAGAGCGTAGTAAGGCAAACGTGTTTTCATTGTGCATAGTGTATTGCTAGGGCACCTAGCAATACATAAGCATATTCGTTGCTTGTAAACTAAGAGAAATAAGCGCCTAGGCGCTCTGCGTTTCGTTCTAGCAGGGGTTTTAGTAGCTAGATCTACTTATATTTAAGAGTAGGTTTTTATCGGATAATACGGAATGGCACGGATACAAGGCTGACACGTAGTGTGAGAATGTTCTTCTCAACGACTCTCTGCTTTTAGTTATTACTCCGTCGCTCCATGTTACTCCGAAGAGAGAGATACCCTAGGTACGCTTAGGGTTCTGTCATTGCATGTCACTTTCGGGAGCTAAGGGTGTCTCCACGTCTTCTGCCACGCGTATGTCTTGCATTTCCAACTTTTATCGAATTCTGATTATTAATCCTAGGCTGTATATTGTTGTACGTATTGTAATAGTTCGAGTGTGTACGCTTCGCAATTGTTGAGCTCTATGGTGCTAACGCTAGCAAATTTGTTAAGAAACATCCGGAATTCCTGGTAGCGAACAAGTATCTTATTCTATGCTTGCACTATCGCCTAATTTGATAATCTTTGAAACCCGGGAAGAGAAGAAGATTTATTTCATCTGCCGTGTTTACAGCCTACAGATAGTAAGCTGCGCTCGGTGTTGCCCCAGCAATGTATGAAACCTTATCGAGCTGATCTGCTGATTTTTCTACGGGGCTTCATTCTAATATTCATAACACAAAGCTAGTACCCAACTAAGTTTTATTTAGTAATCTTAGAAGTAAGCGCTTGAAAAGTATTCCCTTTAGATTATATTAGTAAGCTCTAGCGAAAAACATAGTTTGGAGTATACCTATACGCTCTTAGAATAGATATAGTTTAAATCATAGTTATAAGCTTATAGAATTAGTAATGTTTAGGTTGTGATGTAAGTTAGACTTCTAAGAAAGCTGGATAGCTTTAATGAAAACGCGAGAGGTAACGAAGAGAGACACCCTGAAAACGGAGCAGAGATGATGGAAGAAAGATAGGAGACCGTAGAGCGAGGGAGGCAGTATCCCATAGTTAAACGGTGACAGAAACGAGCATTGTGCGCCGTGTACCCAGTTTTGGACCTAAGAATTGCAGGAAGACAGATGCGAAGGCTCCCGTAGCACACCCAGAAGCAGTATCACTTCCCCATTTTTTCTGATTCCAGCTTATGTACCAGAGTGGATACCACCAAGAAAGAAAGCCCGAGGAAGCCGTACGCCAATTCGATCGTCCCCGGCAGCGCCCTCCACTCCCGAGTCGGGATTCAAGTCAGGATCGCTCACCATCGTCTCGATTCTCTCCTCAAAATCACATAACTTTGCCAAGTCACTAACTGTATATGCTCAATATGAGCCAACAACGACGTCTGGATAGTGGACCAAAATCATCTTACATAAGACCCAGGATTCGATAACCAGGTATCCCAGCCCATCCTTTCCATCAACTGCAGTATCAAAAGCATAAACAGAACTCGGAGAATCGCCTCATCTAATGACTTTGCGTAAAACGACCAAGTCTGCTAAGACGCAGGAGGGATTAGACTCTAATGCGCAGCCATTAGACTCTTGATTCCTACCGAAAAATATGTCAAAGTGACGAGCCAAGGCCTGTGGAAGTGACAAAGAAAGGTGCGGTTCGCTCCATCTAAAAGTGTATCATCAAGCAATTTGTCCGGACAGGCTGGACGACCATCCCGATAATTTGGAATTCGGCGTCAGATATCTACGTACGCCACCGATTGAGAGACCAGAACGATACGAGATGACTAGTGGGTCCGGACCAGGATATACCTTGAATGCTTATAGAAACTATCCACAAGACTCCGGGGTAGACGCGCAGCGGGTATTGGCAAAACAGGATCTGGACGCCACCACGCGGCAGCATCGTGCCGCGGCGAGCACGGATTTTTTGCAGAATCATCATCAGCCGTACTTTGACAAGGTGCTAAAAGTATATTTGGAGAATAAATAAGAGACCGACAAGGACGAACTGTACAACTTGATCGTGATTCTTGCGTCTTAGTGCTCCCAAGCGATACCCACGTAGGATTGCTCGAGGTTTGAGATGAAGCAAACGGGGATGGGCTTTGTTATTCCGATTTGTATGCCGCAGTACAAGTCTCCTCGCTTGGTGAAGGGAACAGCCACGCCTCTGGATCCTCTGTTGTCGGCCTGTGCGGATCCGTAGAGCTGTTTATTTGCAAATTTGGTATAGCAGATACCTAGCGGAGTGTTTTGGCAGATGATACCGTTACTAGTACATGCGTCTGCTCTTTCAAACAGTCTTAGGTTTACTGCTGTAGTAGAGCCGACCAGTGCAGGGATAATGAAGGTCGTGGTCAATCACATGGCTTCTCGTGTTTTGGTATGCAATCGAACGAATTTGGTATGAATATGTATCTAGTCAAAGGAGGTGAGGGTGGTGGGCCTGAATGTAAAGAAAAAACGCCGGCGCATGTGGTCCTTTTATGCCGGCCTATAGTAATAATGTACTTACGTATTATGGTGTCTGCTTACTTTCACGTGACTTTTTAAATCTCAGCACTAGGCACACGATAGTTGATTTTCATGACTTCCAAAACGATCATTGCCATGATTTTGCGAAGTTTTCAGCTTTAGGCAATGCACCGCCATGTTTACAGTCACCTATGTATACATTCTGTTCGTAGCTTTACCTGATCTAACACTAGTACAATCTCTAACTTCTTCCTTATGTACATAGAAGGCGCTTCCTGATAGGTAGAGCTTAGGTGCCTCTGACCCATTGGGCAACGTAATATAGAGCACTAGCTCTCATATACTAACATGGAGTGCCACACTAAATCCCTCGCTCCGAACTGCGGAGAAGTATGCATGCAGGGGGGGCACTTAGTTGACTTTACCATTGAGCTTTTCATCCTGGAGGGGTATCCTTGATAGTAACTTCTTGATAGAGCTACGCTTAGGGATTATCAATTCTAAATTCTTTTTGTAATCAACGTCCCTCACTGTAGGGCGAAAAACGTGGTGTGCCGAACCCAATCAAAGAAATGCTGTGTTAAATCAAGATATGTGTTATCCTCTCGCCTCTATCTTAATTGTCTAGACAGGACTTAATTTGCCTAATTTAACATCCCCAGGCTAGATCGAGGGAACTACAGGCTAGATTTTGTATTTACCTGCATAGTTAATATGTATAGTCAGTTGGCGTTATAACACTTACAATTTCCCTTTCTATGTAAGCACATAACGCCTCCTCCTATATACGTTTGCAACATGCTGTCTTAACTTTTCTTGAGCTATTTTGTATTATAAGCTGTGCTACTATCAGAAGCACAGGTAAGCTTAGTTAGCGATACCACCGTGTTACAGGTAACAAGTAGGATTCTCTCCTTGATAACAGGGCGAAGAGCTAACAGCTAACGGATGTCTAGGTCGGAAGGTAATAATCACCACCGGGTGTAGATCACGTACTATGCTATCCTACTAAAGCTAGCCCTCTTCAATAGTAGGACCCAAAACAAGAAGTATCAAGCATTAACGGGTGTTATTAGTACACTTCCTGTAGTAAACTCTTACAAGCTCTTCTATTTCCTGTGTTACGCCCGAGTCATTTTTCTATAACTACCCTAAAGAAATTTATCTTCACCTTTGCTTACAATCCGCTACTCCACAGTACCGCCGGCCAAACCGCCTGGTTCTACGCATCACGAGAAACGGCCGCCTTGGTACAGACCGAGACCAAGGAAGTACAGCCGAACACCGTCCAACACACCGACTTAACTAGCCCCACCACAAAGTGCGCGCGACCACAAAGTGCGCGCGCGGCCTCACCAAAACTACCTTAAAAACGAGGCTATAGAGCCACACCAAATAGATATTATCACGATATATTTTGGTGGTGAGATCAATAGGC